GGGATCCTCTAAAGATCTCTAAGAACCTGAATGACTATGAGAGAGACACAGAGAGAGAGGGAGAGGAGTGTGTGTGTCTGTGAGTCTGTGTTTATCAACATCACTAATTAGCTTAATCAGAAACACCTGGGTCCTTGCAGCCTTTTCATGGAGATTAAACAGGGAAACACCTCTCAAACAAATCCTCAAAACTCCCATAACCGTAGCTCCTATTGCTCCGATATTAATAAATGAGAGGAAGGATGAGTTGAAGAACAGAACCCTTAAAAATTGTGTCTGTAGTGTAAAAAAAATGTGGCTGAACTGGCGATCTAGAAATGGGGTACCGTGTTCCGTGGAAGATGTTTTTGAAGCAAAATTTAACATTGGTGTCTATGGAGCAGAAGGTTGGTTTTCCTCTCAATTACTGGCTTCTGTGCCAAATGTGTAAATCTGTGGGATTCCAAAGTTATTTGTCTACGACAAGGACAAGATTAGCTACTTTTACATCCAGAAAGTACGCATGAAGAGTGAAGATTGTGGAGACAGTGGCAAAATACAAATGTTTTTTTCACAAGAATCTCAAGCTGCTCTTCACTCTAGCGGTGACATCACGCACTCTAAGCTGCACAATACACACCCATTATAAAGTCAGAAAAGGAGTGAAAAAATCATAAAAGTTAAAATGGGACAGTTCAAAAAGTATAAAAGATATCAAAAAGCTAAATAATGCGGCAATAGATCAGGGTTTTCTAAACATTTTAAAGTTTAAATTATTATTGCTTAACAGCATTCCAACAATAATGTTGCTCTTACAGAATGTGAGGTCAAAGAATGTGTAAAATAAAGTGGCACCCAGATTTGAACTAGGGACCTCTTGATTTGCAGTCAAATGCTCTACCACTGAGCCATAGGATGGCAAATCATTTCTAAAACCAACATGTTAGCAAATGACAAACCTTTATGTTTTATTTCCCAGGTTGTGTGTGTGTGTGTGTGTGTGTGTGTGTGTGTGTGTGTGTGTGTCCCTTTAACTTCATCCCCAAGTTTCTGCTACTATACAAAGGGTGATCCCTTTCAAATCAATACCTCATTTCCAGTAATGAAAGAAATACTCAGACGCCCCCAAATTTGGGGGCTCTCGGGCTCAGGACCCCTGAAAATCATGTTCGGAAAATAGCCTTATTCTTCGGTAATATTGTGGATTGGATTTTTTTTCCGGATTAAACAGCAACGTATGGGCAACACTATCATATAAATCACTTTTTACACACTCCAAACACAACTATAGAGTACTAATATAAGCATCTAGAAAATGTGGCATAAAAGCATGAAATCCTGGCCAGAAATCGCCGTTATGTGTAGGGCAAATCAATATTTGCACCCTGATGCTAGCGGCTACCAAGCGTTGCAATGCATTTTATAGCATTAGCACTCGTGGCTGAACGCATAAATACCTTCGGTTTTCCTCTCCGTGCAACCAGTAGAAAGCTCTGAGTGGAGAACGGTAAGATGGCACTGCCCTTCACCGAAAGAAATCGTGGGTTTTTGGCCACGTTTTATGAAAAATAAGTACAATAACGTCGCAGATTATCCGTTTCAAAGCTAGAATCATTGTTGCCAACTGCATCCTGTTTACTTCCGAGCTGTTTCCAGAATAAGAGCGGTCAATCCAGTTTGGGCGAGCGGTCAGACTTCTGGCGAGCGGAAATTTACACTCGGGGAGACACGGCACTTCTTGTAACTTTACTGGCTGAAACTTCTGTCAATCAACACCAAATTCGATACACGCCTTCCTGAGACTCTGACACGTCGAAGGAGGCCTCATTGACTGAAATCGACCGATGATAGGCTGAGCTACAGCCCCATACACACACATGAACTGAGAAAATCCTATAGATGACAGCCAGAAACAGGCTCTGATGATGTTAGGAATCTCAAAATGATTCCTAACATCATCAGAGCCTGTTTCTCAAAATGATTCCTAACAGCTGTATTTGGATGTATTGAATAATATGAGTGATAAAAAAAGTGAAATATATAGTTATATAGTATATAAATGTACAATGTAAGAGCTGCAACAGCTGGTTCGAAAATGATGACCTCGCTTGACCTCTCTCTACTAAAGCCTCTTATTCTTCACTTTATCCCAGCCAACCTTTATTCAGCAACTACTGATCGGTTGTGCTATGATTTGGGAGAGTTTTTAGGGAGATATCTGCATTATTTCAAAAACATTATATCAATAAAAGTGCTTTTTTTTCAGGCGAACCTGATTATTTTCAATTTGAGCTGTGTAACGTCTTCATTTACTATATTAACCAGCAACATATACACAATATTACCCATCTGAACAATCTCACAAGTGGTGTGATCTGATTATAGCACCAAAAATTATTAAAATAGACCTTGTAGTTACAGAACTATGGTCACTTTAGTGTGGGTATGCCATTTTCGAGCAGAGGCCTACAAATAGGGCCTGAGCTTAAGAGGTTAAGTAAAAAATACTGCCAAAACAATGTAAAAGTACTCCATTAAAAGTAAAAGTTAGGTCACGTTTATGGAGGAATAAGGAAGAATTTGACGGGCTTCATAAACGTTCTTAATTTAATTTACTGTCTAACAAAGCGTCATCTTTTAGGTGCCCAGTATAGGTTTTCAAAATCTTAATCTACAAAGTAAACAGCAACAGTTAACTACTGTATTGTCTAAAGTAGCATTACATTTACATAGTTCAGAATTGTACTTAAGTACAGTAATTGAGTAAATGTTTTTATATGACTTTGCACAATTGTACAGAAGTCATTCATAACTTACATTCTCTCATCCGTTGAATCAGACTCATAGTGGAGGTGTACACTTGTAGAGAGTTTATGTCTACTGTCACACAGTGCAGAATATTTATTCTGCACTGTGTGACATTATATTTGTTGGTGCATCTGGAACAATAAAAAAAAAAAAGCGTTTCAGACTCCCATTGTAACTCTGCGGTGTGTCTTTAATCTAAAAAAAGATAAATAACAGGAATTTGTGCTTCAAGAAACATTATTCAGAATTATAAATGCTTACAAAGTCTTTACATTCACCCTGTGGTTGGAACTGGAATATCATCTTAACAAAGGACGTCTTGAGGCAACATTTCCATGTGTGTGTGTGTGTGTGTGTGTGTGTGATTGACAGCTACCGTCCACTTCACAGCACTCAGTTGATGCAAAGCTTCTGCAGTTTTTCCTTTTACCTGTTTCAGTATCACAGTCTAGAGAACTGGAGAACACATCCCTCTAATGTTGGCACTCTTCAGATAAACACATCAGGTACATTGTGAAACCATGAAAAAGAGTTGAACAGAGCAGATGCACCGACACAGAAACAGGGGAAACCAAGCAAAGCGGTCATGTTCAAAAACAAAACGGTAAGGGCTACGTGTAAATGTAGAAGAAACTATGAAGCTGTTTCTGTTCTTTTTTCCGTTCTGCTTGTTCGAGTCTGTTTATTCATGTTTAAATGTCGGAGCGTGAAATATGAGATGAAAATGACACTTTTCATTGAGTGCTTCTCCAACACTGCCTTGAATCCTTCGGGGTTGACAGACAGATACAGTATATTACTGCATATTACTTTTGATATTTGTTTGAACATACACTAAAACAACAAAAGTGTGTCTCTAACTTACCCCACTCATAGTTTATTACATTTACTAGATGTATTCTTCTTAAGACCGATACATCTCTAATATTAGGGAAATAAATTCAATTTCAAATAAATTATTACATTTCTTTAAACTCAAGTCTAATTGTGCAATTCTTATACAAAGTGAATGCAGATAGTTCTTCACTTGTGAAACATATTACTAGTCCTTGACATTTCACCTCTCCTTAAAGAAACCTTGGTTTGGGATCCAGCGACAGCATGACGCAGGTATATGTTGAATGTCTTTACTGTCCATTCATGTTTCACAATGTTTCCCACCCTGCTGGGCAGGAATAATCTCATCCTTGCACAGGACCTCGGGTGTGAAGGAACGCTGGCGCACAAAACCACGGCAGCCTGTGGCGGTGCAGTGGAGGTCTGTACGTAAGAAACAGGAGGCACTCTGAGCCCTCAGTGACGTGGAAGGCAAGGCGTCCCACGCCCTACAGCAGCATCTCAACAGGACGGAGGAGGTTTGAAGGGAGGAAAAGGGAAGTAACAGAGTGGGGAACATATGGCTGTCCCGTCCAAAGGACCAGGCTTTTGGGTGGTGTTGGTAATTGGTGTTCTAGCTGCCTGGCAAGACAGGGTCAGAGACATGCCTCTGGATCTCCTGCTTCTCTGTGGGGGTCTCCAGGTGCTCAGGGAGGGAGGGGAAGCGCTGGCTGACACATAGTAGTCCAGGAAGCTCTCTGGCCCCTAAAAATTGAGCACGGGTGAGGTCCACAGAGGGCAGATGTGGTGGGTCGGCCTCCGGCGACATGGACATCGTGTCATCAGAGGCCACCGTGAGATGGATCCCACTGGACAGGGAGTCCTTGGATTTGTGATTGAAGTCAGAGTTTGGACTCTGGAAAGAGAGAGAAGGATATGGCATTTTGCCGGTTACACTTCTTGTTTTCTGATTCTTCACAGTTCATGTTGTTGGTATGCCCTCTGGCGTTTCGGAGAACAATGCAACGAAAAGCGGAGGCTACCAAGTATCAACAAAGCTCCTTCCTTTAATTTAAAAAAGAAGAATTGCATGACGTCACTGGAATTACACTTATGAAGATCAAAAAATGAATGCTAACAGAGCAGCAAACGTTATAACTGTATGTACACTGAACACAACACCTGCAGGAGTGAGGCAGTGCTGTCGATCTGTACGGGCTGGATTGGAGAGACGGTGTGGATTGTGGGTGCTCCTGTGCTGTAAAGGGTAGTGGGGTGAGGGGGGTGAGGGCTGGGGGACACAGCGCTGTAGGCCGGAGGCACTGGAGCCATCTGCCTCTGGAGGAGCTGCAGGATCACATTGATGTCTGCTGTCATGCGCGTCTCCAGCCTTGGTAGAATAAAGAAAGACAACAGGGATTTATTTTCACAGTCAGAAAACACCCAACATAAATCTCTACTGATGTTGATGTTTTGATGGTGGATGGAACGCTTCCTCTTTTTACGAGTCCTCTCATCTGCTTTTTCAAAAACGTCCACTAGGTTCCTCTCTTGATCTCCCTACAGCACCTCTCTCTCCCTCATAGGCTACATGGGAAATAACATCCGGGATAAGAGAAGCACATACATGGCTGACTATACAGAGGATATTTCCGTCTCACCTTTGACCCTTTTATTATCTTTATTTGTCTTTCTCTTCCCCCTTCTCTCTCATACATGCATCACACATTAACACCATGCTGGGAATCAATATGCAAACAGCAGGAGAGAAAGGCAGGCGCTTTCACAAACACAAATGTGACGTAAAAGTAAACATTGGCTATGATGATAAAAAAATTCAACACCTGGTCATCAACTATCAGCAGGGGGGTATAGCTCAGTGGTAGAGCATTTGACTGCAGATCAAGAGGTCCCCGGTTCAAATCCGGATGCCCCCTCTTTATTTTAAATCTCAAACACATACACATACTACTTTATACCACCTCACCGGTTTAACTGGGACTGCAGCAGCTCCAGTCTGGACTCCAGCTCACTGGGCCGATGTTCGGCGCAGGGCGACGGGTGGAAACTGGCCCTGGCTGAAGACTGTCGTCTCTGGCTGTCTCTGCGGTCTGGCCAGTAGCCATACAGACCTGACACACTGATTGGGGCTGCTGCTGTGACGAAGAAGAACAATCCTCAGTAGAGATGTTTCATTTTTCATTTTTCAAACGCTATATTTTCTGTTTAGCAAAAATCATAAAACAGGTGGGAAAAACAGGTGGGCTTGGAAAACCAGTCTGTTTACACTGTCTGGGCGGAGTTATCAGTGAGAACAATGCAGAGCAGCAGCTGTGAGCTAACCAGTGGGGCAAGCTCACATGCACTAATGCACTAACATGCACTAAAAGCACGTGCTGCCGTCCCGACTATGTCAACAAAGCAAGGTGAAGAGTGGATAACAACACACACAGAGAGTGACGTTCAGGTTGACATTACTCCACTATCTCTTTACATAGCAAATAGTCGTTTGCTGCTATATTAATGCACTAAATGTTGTCTATTTCTCCTTTAACATAAGTAATATACTATAGTTGCAGCCACTTAAAAAAAACTTTTACAAAAATACACACATGTATTATCTTTCTATGCTTTGCAAAACAACATTCACTTTTTCCATTTTGGCTCAATATTTTATGGGTTAGGTTTTTTTTTTTTCAAATGTTACCAACTTCATCAAATGGCATTTACATGTCATCATTCAAAAAGAGGAGTCCCACATTTTTTATAGATATTTGGCATTTTTTTCTCATTTCATTAAAGACATGATGTCCCTGACACGTCCAGAGAAGCATGGTGACATCTGATGTCATCCTCAAAGTAGAGAAAGACATGTAGGAAATCTATGGCTTAGTAAACCTTATGAGGACCGGGAAAGTGCTGAAGAGGACACAGATGGAATTGTGAATTAAAAATGAATTTGGTACCCCTCTAAAATGTTTCAAGGCTCCATCGGGCCCATTAGAGACTACCCAGACATGACCTATGAAGGGCTTGTAGGTAGTCTTTACCTGCGTATGGTGGTCCTCCGAGGTCTACAGGCGGTCCCATCCCAGCCGAGGGGCCACTGTGAGGCAGGAGGTTGACCACTGCCGGGGGGTAGTCTCTGGTGTCACCCCTGGCGAGGCACAGCTCCCCTTTGCTATGTCCCATGGACTTCAGTTCCTCATCTCGCTCATCGCTCGACTGTGAACAGATGCTAGCGCTGCTGCAGAGGTCTTCCCAATGGGATTCTGCCATCGTGCCCTGGTGGTGGTTTGCCATTGGACAGGACTGATCGGGGTAAGAGTCTTCACGGTCCATGCCGTCTGTACAGACATTGTCACAGGACCGCCAGTATAAGACAATGTGGAGGTTAGTCAAAACAGAAACATGTGGAAGCGTGTTCGGCCTTGTCCGTCACTCACCTGGTCGGTTTCGGCGACGCAGGGAGCTTCTCCGATGCCTTGTCCGGCGGTAGCCACATTCAGAGTCCCTGCCCGGGGTTGGCTGCTGTATTATATCTGCCTGATACATATCAGCTTCAGTAATTCAAAACTACACACCGGATCTCATACTTAAAGGATATATGCATTCTTGGATTATTCTTACATCATTATATATGATAAATCTAATAATCCACATTGAAGCAGTCAGGGATCCCCAAGAAAAAGAAAAACGCGCCAGCACATAAACAATAGGCCCAGGTATAGCAGGTGTGTTACCAAAAGTCATTTTCTGAGTCGTTTAGGACAGAATATTTCTCAGAACATAGGGAGAGGGATACAACATAACACTGAGAAGAAATAGTCTAAGCAGGTACGACTAAGTGATGTCTTTTTTCTTTCACCGCTTTAAGGCACCCTGTGGAGTCTGTGACCCCTTGTGGTGCTAGAGCAATGTCTTGCTGTGCATGCTGTGCATAGAGGCAGTTAAGTGCCATAAATGGAGGAGATATGCCAGTAAAAGGATTAAAAAAACGATCACAAGCCGATACATTTCAAGGCAATTTTACAAATGTTTCATGAGGCAGGAAATTGATTTTGGCATCAATGTTAGTGTGAAATGTTGAATGTGTTCACACCATGTTTGAGTATAATGTCAACTCCACAGTGTACCTATTAAAGGTCTTCATTCATTAATTCATAAAATGAGAACTGGTTAAAACTTGTTTTCTTCGGCCTCGAGGCAAAAACAAAAGCACAGATTATGCAAAAGGCCTGAGGTCACTGTAAGGATGGTATTTCTAGATGTAACATCGCCCTCTGGTGGCACTCACATCTCTCAGGTTGAAGGTGATCTCCAAGTTGTTCCAGAACACATCGGAGAAGTCGGGATACATGTCCAGCACTTCCAGCAGGTCGTCTCTCAGGATCTTGTGAAGATCGCAGTAGGTCAAAGCCCTGACGTCAGCGCTGGATTTACCTGGCCTCCCATACAGACTGATGGACTCACCAAAGATGTCGTTCTTTCCTATGGAAATCACAACAAAAGGAAAGAAGAGCACAGGAAAAGAGTGAGAGTAAATCAATAGATGTTTGACTAAGTGAGCAAGTCATTGCTAGTAACAGTGAAAATAGTTAACTGACAACATTGTGATGGATGAATCTGATCCAAAGCTAATGAAAAACAAAAGCACCAGAGTGACACTGATCCTCAACAGCACTGCTGCTCAAAACAAGTGAATGATCACAGCTGGGAAAGACATGACCTATGCAGCCTCGATTGCTGTGTGTGGGTCTATTGATGATCAATGCCACTGTGGAATGGAAGTGGAGCTGTGCCCAAACACCTCTGGCAACACAACACACAGAGAACACACACAGAGTGTGTGCGTGTGTTGTGAGTGTTTGGGGCAGAGAAGGTGGACTAAAAACAGAAACAAAAAAGTGATAAAAGGGAGAAACAAATTACAATTTTTTTGCTATTTCAAGACTCTGGTTATTTGTAATGGGCATTGGTCATTATTATTGACATTTTCTAAGTGAAATGATTTATTGATTATTTAAATGACTGACTGATGATGAAAATAATATAAGCAGAACCTCAACTGTAGCTTGCAGCTCACCTAGTATGGCCACCACCACATCGTCCCTGAGGATCTCTATAGAGCCTCTGGAAATGAAGTAGACAGCGGTGAGAATGTCCCCACTGTGGACCAGAGTGTCACCCGGTGGAGCGTGGGTGGTCTTGAATCGCATCGCCAAAGCCCGCAGGCAGCCTTTGTTGGCACCTCGAAAAGCTTTGCAGTTCTGTAGCAAGCTGCGGTTCAAATGGAGGCAGATGTCAGCCTGCAGACACTCAGGAAAACCCTTTAAAACCTGCAGGGCAACAAGGGCATCGGGTAAATCTAATGGAAATATTTCTCCATGATATTCGTATTTTTTTTTTTTCCTGTATCTGTTTGACCTGTATCTACAAAACCACTTCATCTAAAATGGGAAATGCTAAATGAATCTGAAAGGTACATAATAAGGGAAATGTGGGGTGAGAGAAGGAGAGCAGAATGTGTCAGATTGATTCAGGCAGCGTACAAAGGACAGCGGCTCCCAGTGATTATCTGTTCACACATTGAATTGGCAGGCACTAATGCTGCGCTCTGACTGTGTAATGCTCCAGCGCTGTTCGCAGCTCAAGCCATTACAGCAATATGACGCACAGCATCGCTAAAATTACAGTCTCCCATTTGTTCAAGCTTAGTACTTACACTACTGTGTATTTAAAGTAAAAGGGGGCACCCAGATTTGAACTGGGGACCTCTTGATCTGCAGTCAAATGCTCTACCACTGAGCTATACCCCCACACATGATGCTGAGTCACAGGTGATTCTTTTCAAACACCTGCTGTGTTTGCATAGTGAATACCTTGGTGATGCGTTTAAGAGTGCCTGCATGTGCCCTCTAGAGGCAGGATGGCAAATCATTTCTAAAACCAAAATGTTAGCAAATGGCAAACCTTCATGTTTTATTTCCCAGGTTTGACAGGTTGTGTGTGTGTGTAGATGATGTTTTAATGTTTCTATATGGTAGCTCGTCTGAATCCCTAAAACCTGTTTGAAGCAGAGCGGGGAAAAGCTGACTTTGATACAGGTTTGGGTCTGAGTCATAGAGTGCTGCAAGGATGAAGTATTTTTAAGGCCAGCCCCAAAATTAGTATTACACTGGTTCCCTCAACAAAAAGCAAATGGGATTTTTCCATTTCCATTGGATTTTGGAATATTGCAAAAAAAAAAAAAATGTAGCAAAACATTTGTCCACACTCTGTACAGCAAGCTAATCTTCACAAACCAGCATGTTTTCTAATGATTTTTGAAATTGTCAGAATATTCTTACCAGTTGAGTGGCAAGAACAGCAATCGTGATTATGAAGACTAAACATTCAACTGTAATAACAGAATGGACAGGGGGCACCCAGAGTTGAACTGGGGACCTCTTGATCTGCAGTCAAATGCTCTACCACTGAGCTATACCCCAACAGACAACACAATGTTTTTCTGTTATAGTATATCGCAACAATTCCATCCCTTATACTGTCTTGGCAACCAATTTTCCAGCTAAATATTCCTTCCCAAACATAAGTCTTTTGCCTCCTGTAAACTAGAGCAAGACCCTGTGTGTGTATGATCGATTTACAAGACTTACGGCGTTCATGTCGATGCCGTTGGTGTAGGACCAGGCATGTTGGAAGTACTCCTCCAGCCTCTGTCGCAGGCCTCCTGGGATCTGGTGGAAACGGATGAACTCTTTGACCCGCAGCATCTGGGTGTGATACCGGGCCGTGCCCGAGTACAGTCTCTGAATGATTGCCGACACGTTACCAAAGATACTGGCGTACATCAGAGCTGCATGGGACAGATGACAGAAATACTGTATGTTGGAGGAATTGATTATTAAGGATAAATGTTCAATTTTGAAAATAGCTATTTTACAAAACCAGGGTAACATGCAAAAGAAAATTCTGTATTTTAAATCAACATGCATTCAAACACAATATTGAAGGATGAAATTCAGCACCATCCGTCATACTTGCTTTTGACTAATATGTCAATGTATGGATGTTTCAATGAGTCGCCTTGTGAACACTAATAATGCTGTCCCATTGTAGTGTTAGTTCTGGTTCACATTCTGTCCCACCATAACAACACATTTGTGTTTAGAAACACAGAATGTCTGAATTCTATGGCATGGAAACAACATGAAGACTAAATATTGCCACCATTGGTTGATCCAATCAAATCACGAACAAAAGATTCAGGATTCTAAACTTTGGTGACAAAGGTTTTCACACTGATTCTGTCTTTTATTTTTTGCACATGCCAATACATTAAAAAATTAAAGCCGCTTTAGCCGCTAACTGTATTTAATTTGTTCCAGAGGCTGCTCTGATTTCTGACTGCCACTCCCACTCTACTCACAGCCAATGAGCATGACACAGATGGAGAAGATCTTCTCTGGGTTGGTGTTGGGGGAGACGTTCCCAAACCCCACACTGGTCAGGCTGCTGAAGGTGAAGTACAGGGCTGTAACATACTTGTCCTTGATGGAGGGGCCCGAGGCTGGGTCACTATCATTGTACTGTTTACCGATCTGTTCAGCCAGGTTGTCCAGCCAGCCAATCTTCAATCCTCCGATGCGTGCAGAACTTGTGCGCTCCACGTTGCCGATGGCATACCAGATACAGGCCAGCCAATGAGCGATGAGGGCAAAGGTGCACATGAGGAGGAAAAGGACCGCAGCTCCATATTCTGAGTAGCGGTCCAACTTCCTGGCCACTCGTACCAACCTCAGCAGTCTGGCTGTTTTCAGTAATCCAATCAGAGTGGTTGTCTGAGGCTGGTGGAGAGAGAGTAGACTTCATGTTAGTGAAGCTCTTGTGCCACTGTAAAATGTGCTCAAACCAGTATCATTCATCACTGGGGTTCAAACACACTATTTGGCTGCAGATATTAAGTGTATTGATACTTAAATGGAAGCATGGAAGTAAGCGAACACCTAACTGACCTGAAATCGCCCACACCCCACCACGAACATGTTACAGTCTCAAAAATGATAACCAAAATCTTGCAAGTTCAGTCTGGGAAAAACTCCATAATCAACCAAACCCAAGATCTGAACGTTGGACAAATCAGTGAAGTCGCAAAGACGTTAAGACAACAAATTGATTCACTCTGTCTCAAAATTGTTGAGTGTTGCCAACAACTGGTTAGAGTTGTTGTATCAACAATGGTTTTGCAGAGTGTCTTAGTAGCCAAGTTGTTACAGAGCGTGCCATCTAACTGCAATGTCCTGGGTTTGATTCCGGCCTTGGATCCTTTGTTGCATGAATAGATTGAATATAAAAAGTGGATGTAGTCACTGTGACACCAACCATTGGTTTGTGGACTAACATTTTCAAGCCTTGATTTTGGCGTTTTGGCTGTCGGCATCTTGGATTTCTGCAACCAGAGGTGAAGCGAGAGGGTGGAGCTAAGTACTGCCAAACGCTGAAAAAGACATTTAAGTCGACACAAAGTGTGACAATTAACTTTCATGAACTGAAAACACAGTGTGAACGGAGACAACTCCCAGACCGGAAAACTATTTTTCTGCAACTGCATAACCTGTTTCTTGTTTCCAATTAATTCAATAACCGTTTTTCAACTTTGCAATTCAGAAAACCGGTCAGTGGTGTTCTCGTCCAAAAGGGGTTGATGTGTCAGCAAAGTAGAATACAACCCTCCATTGTTCAACCCACATTGAATGTTTCAAGGTCAATTCAATAGAGAGTCCTACCCACTCCGCTAGCCTCTGTTAGCATCTGCAACTCAAAGGGGTTCCTTGAGAGAATTTCTTTGGTCTCTCTGAAAAACTGAAACATATTGACTGGGTTTTCTATCCTTATTATCTACTAATGCAAATGAGTTGAACTCCTTGTCATCTCTGCCATGATTTTATAGGGATACAGTGGAGATAGAGACAAAAAACAGGGAAAGAGAGAGAGGTATGACATGTAACTAAGATTAAACCACAATTGCTGAAGCCCCCCGTAAAATGTTCTTCAGCCCCCCCAAATAATTTGGCTTTAATAAAAAAAATAAAAATAAATTTTTTTTTTTGGTGATGCCATTAAATTAAACTATTGTTTCTCACATGGACAAGTTATTTATAACTCTAACATGCTACATATGTGTGTGTGTTCTGGTTTGTATGTTTTCTCCCCCTTCAAATTACAATCCAACAGCCTATCATCATACTTAACGATATAAAATTGACACTGTCAGGTCCATTCTCCATCCATTGTGTGCGGTCCCTTTAAGAATTAGGATTTGGGAGCTAGTTTATCCGTCTTTCCTTTACAAGCAGGAAAATTATTTCTCTCTCTTTATTTGAGAAAAGTTCATATTTGTGTTGTCAAATTTCATTATGACCCTGAAATTCTGTCTCTTGTGTTATCATATACTGAATGCAAGCAAAACTACAGAGCAAAATCACACTCTTTCTGATTGAACCAATCAATGAACTGTCTGAAACAATGGATATCCACGGCCCCAAATGGGCCCCAAAAAATATTGCCGCGCGCTAAACATGCCACTCCCCTTGAGGCTAAGCCCCCCCTGTCTTTCAACCCTAGAAACGCCCCTGGGACTCAACAACTACATATCCCACAACAGCTGGGATTGCAGGCTGGATTTGAGCTTGGTCATGTTGAGGAATAGACAGGCGTAACTGATAACATGACTAATGGCTGCATTCTATTTAGTTGGCTCACTGGCAAGAGCTACTGAAATGCATAAACAGAACACTCACTAATGTTATTTTCTACACGCACTTTTGTTTGACCTTTTGTCTGTATTTATCTTTTTCAGACAACATCGGACAAATTAAAACATATGCTGATGTTGCGAGGCCGTTTTCTCCCCTTCTTTCTCACCTCCTCAGACCCGGTGCGGAATATGAGCAGATCGAAGGGGATGGCAGCCACAATGTCAATGAGGAACCAGCCCTTGAAGTAGTGCTGCGCGATGCGTCCTGGGTGGCTGACCACCTCGTCGTTATGGTTGACGTAGGTGGTCCTGAAGTTGATGAGGATGTCCACGATGAACATGACATCCACCACCAGATCCACCACGTTGAGCGGGTTGCAGGTGTATCCGCAAGTTCTCCTCCGCTCTTCCTCCACCTCGTTGAGAAGGAAGGCGGCCGAGTACGGCGTGAAGACGGCGGTGTAGATGACCAGCAGCAGGATGATCCAGTCCCACACCGCTTTGAAGGGGCTGTAGTGAAGGATGGTCCATTTGTGGATGCGTGGGGCCTGGAGCTTGTACTCTGGCAGCACGTCAGCACCGAGGGACAACACCTAAAGAGAGACGGACAGGGTGGTGAGGATGTTATTGATAAGGGAGGTAGGACAGCGAATTCATGACTAGTGGCCCCATAATTCACCCTCCACTTTTATATTTTGGGTAAACAGCTTAGACTTGAAGACAAACAGGGCAGATACTGTTGTTTTCAATGGTTTAAAAACAATATGTTGTTTCTATTTTAGTAGTTCATCTCCTACACAAAACAGGCAACAATCACTTGAAAAAACTATAACTACAACATGTCTGACACTGCACTTGACATGAGAAAGATTTGATTTCATGATTAACTCCAGAATATTCACAGAATAAAGTCGCAGGGACTGTGTATGCAGAAATGATTGGCTGCTGCACACACTATGTTTTAATGCTTGTTTTGTGGCTTGACACTATATGCCAAAGCCAGTCAGGCTTTATTGTGTAATATATTGTGTAATATTCTGTGTCTGTGACAGTCTCACAAAGATTCTCACCAGGAGAAAATATCACAGCCCCTTAATGGCAACATGTCCACACTGCAACATTTTGAATGCAGCAAAAAGAAAAGTAAGAACTCCGGCAAGGCAAAAAAACATTAACACAAAGCCCTGTCCAGTGTTACCACCCCTCCCTGAGTGATTTGTCTAATTGCATTAACAAGCAGACCAACACAAAAGTAAACAGAGAACGAGTCATTAAAGCGACGAGTATTACGACCCTACTGACCGGTACGACAACTAGGGCCTCCATGTCCACGTTCTCATCCTGGTGTCGGCCACAGCAGCAGAGGAGGAGGCTCCTCCAAACCCTCTGCAGCCCTACCTGCCTGCTCTGTAGTGGCCATCTCCTCTCTTGCATCACTTTCTTGCCCAAAAACCACAGACTTCTACAAAAACCACAAACTCATCTCTAACAGAGTCTCTGTGCAGCTCTATCCGCACTCCACAGGCACTTTAAAAAAATCGAATTGCTAACTGCTGTTTTTAAAGAGCCCACTGCAGCCTCACCTGCCACTGTTGCACCATGTGATCAACACTTTATTGAGACCATGTGACCTCTTCTACGAGTGTTCTGATCAATTGTGGACCAAAATAAGTGCTGGCATCGATTGGGAGCCATGCAGAGGAGTGACTTTAGTTCATTCTGAAAGGTTAGGTCACTGCTGGTGTAAAAATGCTCTACTCTAACAAATTGAATATTTCTGATGGCCCACTGCTGACACTCATATCGACACTAGCTTACTAACCCATGTTAAGAAATACTCTTTGTGCATTGTTGTCTTTCCATTTCCTCACGAACCCTCCAGTGTTTCGATGCTTATTTGCATTTTTGCCTGACAAAAGAAGCGGTGTGAAAAACTAAACTCACATAGGGAACACCAGGAAAGTCTAACATAGTATCGTCTATTTAGACTCTAGTTCTTCTTTCCACTTTCCCAGCTTAGATGACAACAGCGGTCAGACATACTAAAAGTACATTTCCTCTTAAGGACAAAGCGCTACATTAAAAAAGTTACTGAATGTTCATGGCCATATTTGGTAAACCAAAAAAAAATCAGAGGGGATCTGAAGTTCGATCTCCCCTCGGAATAACCAAGGCTTGTACAGTTTCCCTTTACAGCATGCAGTGGCATCAATGACAGCGGGATGATGGCTTCTGCTCTTGCTCCATAAATCAGTTTTTATTTATGACCAATAGACAGCGCACAGTGTTAGGAAACAAGGTGGGAAACCTCACAGGATTCACTGAACACAACAACCTCTGGCACTCCTTTGTGTGTCAGCAAATGACCACAGCAGCTGAACAGATGGGAAAAGACAACACAGCAATGACAACGTAAACACACGAGCAAAAGTTCACTCATCCAAGAAATGTTAAGTTATTGATGTTGGGCACAGCTCGAATGCATATTGAGGACCAGAGAACAACTGCCACCGCCAGTTGGCACGCAACAGCTCTGTGTCATTACTCTGACTTTATAATTAACATAGAAAGAGTTCACTGTTAATACATTTGATCACATGTGTTTGATTGAGACGGCAGTTGAGGTGTAAAATACAAAAGAAGCTTAAAGACTGAACAGGATATATATCACAAAAGCCAGTGTGATAATACTAAATATTGTGGATTGACAGACTGCGGATTGTCGGTCATCTGCTATGAAAACCAGAAAATACTACTTGTATCCCTACTTTTGAATAAAGTCACAAAGCAAAGTGCAAAATCTGTAACATATAACTAATTTTACTTAATTGTCTTCTTGCAAAATGTCCTCATGCTGTCTTATTTCACTCTAAACATATACACACAAACCAACTGCTGCACTTAAAACACCCTCTCCGTAAACCTAAAACACGTGCAACTCAAAAGCAAAATGTTATAAAAGCTGCAAGACTAAATTGGTGACTTGTCACAAATAGACAGGCAATACCTTGTCATAGCCAGGCGACATGGCATCAGCTTAACATGGATAAAGCTGATGTTGTTCACCTGTGGCGCTACAGAAGGTAAGCACGAAGGGTGAGGTGGAGGACAACGGGAGGGAGCAAGAGGAGGGAAAGGGACAACAAATAAACAGGGAAGTGGAGCTGAAACCAGGGAGCGTGAGAGACCCAGTAAGGCTGAGGTACTCACAGGCTGAAGTTTGTGCTTGAAGCTCATGCTGAAGGGCACCACGGGGTAAACAGCTAGAGAAGAGAGTGCAAGAGAGAGAGAGAGGGAGGAAACCCCTATCCATCCATCTGTATCCCGCTCCCTCCTGCTCTCTCCTCCCTCCCTGTAGCCCAGCCCTCACCGTGGGATCCTCCTTCAAACATGAACAAATGATCCTGTGGCGAATGACAGCATCCTCCTCCTCAACTGGTGCTCAACAAGCAATAACTGGGAAAAGCCAAAGTAGCTTTCATTCAGCATTCTACTGGATACACTCCTCTGTTGATATAGGCAGCCTGATTTAGCTACTTGAGAAATAATTCTGGAAATATTTCTGTATTTACATGCAATGTGTTACCACCACGTCTACCTATTTGTGTATTTGTTCTGAGCCCATGTGATGTTTTATAAGTTACAAATAGTCATTAAAATATAGTATATTTTAAGTCAATACGGCTATGGCTAATTCATTAACTAATTGTACTTAAAGAAGCCAGAAACAACCTCATATTTCACTCTGATGGAGGCAAAGTGGCCAGAAATGTTTGGGGGAATTCCCACAGTATACTGGAGGACAGTATTGTATCCTCTTATATTTTGATAAACTTGTGCTTGATGGCTGCTCTTGAATAATGAGTTTGATCACTGAGCATGTTAAGATCATAATACTTCTTTGTGAGTATACACCTGTGTTAACACGTGCACTTCAAGTTCTATTTAATTCAAACTGAATCTCCACAGTCTCCTGTTGTGAGCTCATTCAAAGCCAGGGGGCACCACACACACACAGTAGTAACAGTGTGCCGGGTGCTTTTCTACAATCTTTTACAAGCTACAGTCTAGTCCATCACACTGTGTGTTTCATGTTATGCAGACAAATCAATATGAACAAAGATCGATGACAACCTTCATTTCCCTTTTTGTAAGGTGCCAATCGAAATCCAATTAGAAAGGCGCTATGATGAACAATATTATTGTATAACGGCACAGAACAAAAAGTAAACGCAACATTTGCATATAGATTTAGTAACATGTAAACAACATATTAATTCTTTAGACAAAATTGCACTTGGCGGGGTTATTGATCACCACCACCGTTAGTGCTCACATGACAGCAGCAGCTTTACTGTGACCTGAAAGCTGAGCTTCAGGGCTTCACATTCGTCTGTCACCCCACGACTACGACACCCCCGTGGGTCAAGCTGTTAAAACCGGACAAGAACTCAGACTGACACCAGCATGAAGACGGCTAGAGGGGACTGCAGTCGGTGGTTTGACAGAAGCGCAGAGAGCATGCCTGCTGTCCTCCACTTCCATTAGCTCCAGAGGCCAAGGTCACCGGCATCGGCGTCAAGCCACCGAGTGCCGCTCAATAGCCTCACAGCCGTCACCCTTTTTACTCGCTTTCATAACTACATCTCACCAGAACCTCTCTCTGCTCTCACAGACTGTCTGTGAAGCATCCGCACACACACTCCCACACAATCAACAGGGAGTCCCCCCGTTCTCCAAGCTGCTAGTTACCGTCTATACGTTGGGCTACATACAGATACAGCAGTACTGAGAATAACTATCACTAACTAACAATCAAGGACATTTTAAGCACCACATTTTAAAACAAATGCTTGTTTTGCTACCTTCTTAATAAAAAAAGTAAAACAGAGCTCTCATCCGCTGAAAATCCAAAGACCTTCAGTAAATATAGTGTTTGACAGCTGAAACTCCAAAGCATAACCTAATGCAAAAGGATTTACACAGTATCAATCCAAAACACATCACAAGATGAAATATCTTTAACTGTGACCAGATAATTAATCATTTTTAATGCAACTAAATCCTTTTAAATGTCCAAGAAATAATATCACAAAATGAGGGAGATTCATAAATCGCCACGAGATACTTAATTTATACAATATTTTTAAATCAGCTACTGAAACAAGTTGTATGCACTGGAAACAAGTGAACAAATACCTCAGCCCCCTCCCTTGTGCGGTCTGTCAACAGGAGACATACCAGTGACAGAGAGCTGCAACACGTTTACCTTCCAACAGAAACATAAAGAGTAGAAAACCCCTTATTGACACTCCACTCCACTGACACGCTCACACAGAGAAACACTCTTTTATCCAAACTTGTACATGACGTCAGCGGAGTGCAGATAACAACTCAAGTGTTCTGCCAGACATTCAAGGAGCACGTCTGTTCCTCCTGTCAGTTTTTTCCAGGGCCACAGAAGCCACATTGCTTCCACATTGTGTAGCCGGCTGTCGATACCACTCTCCCCCCCCTGGTGTGAAGAAGTGACATCTCACCACCACCAAGGCAGCAGCAGTTGCATAGGGTAATAGCGCTGCACAAAAAACATGCAAATGTGGCACTGACTAATGATAAATTGATGTGCTATCGGAAGCAATGCAAATCTAAGGCCTATGTTATGTGTTGTGGTGGTTTGTCAGTGTATTGTTGGTGTTATTCAAAGATGTTTCCTAAATGTACTTCCTCCTTAAATGCAGAACTGTACAAAGAAAAGGCAAGAAAAAGCCTAATGCAGTTGTGAAACCAGAAAGCATTCAGAGAACTCAGACCTATATTATATTTATATTATCGCCAATTTCTGAGACAACTTTCTCTCCACTGAATTTCTGAGGTAAATCTCGTGGTTCGTATCACACATTATTTATCGAACGCTTCAGTTAAAAGTTACTTTGCAGAGTCAGATTTAATAATAATATAAGATAGGAAAGTGTGGTTTAACAAGACAATGTGTAGTATTGTCTAGACATTTAACTCAAGGACTTTTGCCCTGCTCTTCATTATTTCATTATCTCCAATTACCGTAGTTTAACATTCAGATGGGGACCATTCTTCACAATGAAGTCCAATTTTTTAAAAGCAGGAACTTAACTCGTCTTTCAGTATTTTTCCATTGAGGTGCTTCTTGCGCTGCTGCATGTGAGGTAACATTGTGCCAAAATGTGAACAGACACACCCGCGGTGTGACGACAGGTGGCTGATCAGAGTGTTGTGCTGCTGGAGCCGTAGATGTCACACCTCAGGTGAGATCATTCTCTCACACTTTCACTCCGCCACTGCAGATGTGTTTTAGCATCTTCAGTGAGCCTGAAGCAATAAACATTTTTAAAACATCTTTGCCTGAAGTGTCCATGTGAAGAGACATCGACTGGATGTGAGATTAACCACAAAAATGGCCATACAAGCTGCACTTGACAGGATGACGGGAGGAGTAATATGATGTGATAAATATAATTTATTTTTCCGATGAGAGTGAAAAATATTTACGTTCAGGCCAAAAAAAGCAGACAAAGCTGTTGTGAAACCTCTAAATATGAGGCTCAACTGGACTCAAAAAAGATAATTTCATCCAATAATTTTCAAGGAAAACGATCAGCCTCTTCTGTGTCATCATAATTGAACAAAATTGCTAATTACAATGAGTGCATAAGTAAAACAATGTTAATTTGTAAATGAAAAAAGGTAAAGCAACCAACAATGTCAGAGTATTTTCTCTTTTTTCACTGAGATGTTAAAGGACTCGTCTTACCTGAGTGACGTGAGTGACCTTCTCAGTGACATTCTGTGCCCGGTCTTTAATCTTGCTGGGTGCAATGATTTCAATCTCAGTGGGCGAAGGCGGTCTCAACCGGTCCGAGCCGAAGGTGAGAGTAACCTGAGGGATGCGGCCGATGGTCCGATGTCTCATCAGGTCCGAGTCCGACGTAGAGTTCAGAGCGCTCGGCTTCAGATCTACAGCAGAGAGTGGCAACAACAACAATTAAGATTCACAAGCAGATTGTGGAAAACTATGAATTATGGTGAGACGAGAAACAGAGAATGAATACCTGAAAATGTGATCGAATTATGAGGGTTTTTTAAATTCACATTGATGTACTTGTAAATGAAGTGTCCAGGTTTAAAGGTCAAATCCTGACCAAATGTTAAAAGAGATGTTACAGTTAAAATGTTTTAGAAACTAAATGTTTTTGTTCATCCACTATTTCTTTCCCTCAACAGGCGAATCAGGACAGACTGCATTTCCCCTCAGCCTCAAAGACTGAGATGGACGTACAAAAGTGATGAAATGAAAGAAAATGTGACGGACAGATTGAGAGTATGATTGGAACCTGCACAGAAATGATAGTCTGCTCACAAAAGACTTCCCCTGAGAAGAAGAAGACGATATATATGTGCAGTAGTGTTCAATTGGACCACAAATGGACTACAAACCCACACAGAATCAGACAAACAATCACACACACACACACACACACACACACACACACACACACAGTGACAGAGAGATTGATTTGTCAGGTGGCCGCACACGCTCAGAGCAATGCTCTCCTTGTTATGGAAGATGGAGTTCTGTGATTTTTGCAGCTTCTACATCAATTTCATCATATCTGGTCGACTACATCTTTCATTTTATATCAAAATGTTCAGTATTGTAACAAATACTATACCAAGGCCATGGTAAATAATCCTTTCTGATTGGCTGTCAGGTTTGTTAAGATCATATAACAGAATAAATTGTGGTGCCATCAGACTTATTACTATTGCGTCCCTCTCTTCCTGTGGTCGCTCTACTTTCGCTATCTAATAAAGGCAAAAGAAGCCCAAATATAAAATATAATATGACAAGTCAAACTGTTTTAGTCAACATTTTAGCCAACATTCTGTGCAAACTATAGTAAATTGCAGGTATTAATCGCAACAATAGTCACGCTTCTTTGAGCAGGCATGGCTTAAAATAACCAAAGAAACAAACAAATTACACATTTTTAATATAAGCAATTGTTTTCCTTTAACCTTGATGAGTGGCCTTGGTAAAATAATTGATAATGTACTCTGAGGTGTCCCTAGGTAGAATATAATGGACTCAATGAAGGAAGGGAACCCCTCTTCTGCCTTCATAATTCAATACTGACAAATATCTTGGAGAAAAGTATCAGTTTTGGTAAACTACAATGATTTTCAAAGTTGAGTGAGTCAACTCTTCGGTTACAAATACAGAAATGCTCTCAGCGTCCCAGTCAGACACTCACTGCTGTTGGTTTGGACATCCACAGGTCGACTGCTCCATTCTGCCCTCATGCCATCAATGTCGTCCAGTGACGAGGCGCGTCGAAGGCTCTGGACGCTGTCCCGAGAACAGCTCCGAGGTAGCGGGCCCCTGGGGAAGGCGTTGCTGGGGTCCAGGCGGTCTGTCAGCAGGGAACGCCGCTTGGTGTAGGACTGGGCTGCAAGGGATGGAGGATCAAGGTCCTGTTCTATCAGGGCTTCGGTCTCAGACTGCATGCAGCTCTCCTTGGATGGGATACGAAACTCTTTGAGCGGGACTTCCTCGCTGTTTGGCTGGCAGGGGCAGAGAGCAGAAAGCCTTGTCTGAGGTGTACAGAAATAATAATTTAATTTCCAAATAAAAATTGATTATCTTTCAACAGTTACAGCATTTCAAACTGAAATTGTGTTGTGTTTTACAAATCAGGTACGGATACTGTCAGGAAATATTTTCACACAAGAAGTGATTCATCAAAACATGAGAGAACTCTAACAACAGTAAGATTAACTCAACAATGGTAGATTTTCTCCCCCTCAGTTTTCCCGTTGGGATCCTTTGGGAAGAGCAATCAATCCTTGAATTTCAAACAATTCTCGCTGCTATATGTCAAACTGCATATTTCATATGTGAAAAGCCTGCACCGAAAGAGTTTGTCGTGAATGTACTACAGCAGAATGCAAGACATACACGCCAGCGTACCGCATTGTATTATCTCCTGTGAGTGTTGTGAATGTGTGAGCTCACCTGCAGGTAGTCCACTACCACTCCTTCAAACTGATCTTTGGACAGTGAAGGTTGTCGCATGGACCGCAGCACCGGTAGCCTCATCTTCAACCTGCGATTCTGACCTGACGGGGAAAGTCTGTGTTCAGCTCAGCTGTTAACAAAACTCCAATGATATCTACTACAAATCATGTTCACATACAATCGTTTTGTGTAACCCAATTACAAGTAGTTCATATATATGGTAGCAAAAATCTCTTTATTGAAAGTTAAAAGTATATCATGCAGACAAGTTATAAGTGAAATGTTAAAGAGTTTACAGTATATCAATCCTTTGGCAACTCTCTGCTTGAGGCCCGACGTCTTGAGCGAAGGATCAATCAGCTCCTGGAAGTCGAGGATGAACATGATCACAAGACTTTCTTCGTTTTTTACGGGGACAACGTCTACCAGGCATGGTCTACAGGTTCCTATAGACACAGAGAGAGAGACACTTCAGTAGGAAAGCAGGGGGCACTCGGACTTGAACCGGGGACCGCTATACCCCCCCCCTCCCAACAAGAGAAAATAGCAACCATCTGATTTGCCCCATGAAGCTTCCACTACACTTGCTAAAAATGGCTACATGAGCAACACATCTGTCAGGATAAACTTCACTCTGCAATCAGCGTGGTCTAAAAATACACACAATTCAGTCCCATTCACACATCCAATCTGAATCATTGTATCCACTTGTTCGCAGTTTTTGTTCTACCTGTTCAGTCTGGAAGCACAGTAGGAAGCAGGAGACAAAGGAAATAGATGCTTAGTGGATTTGAGCCCGCATGCTGATCACATTTCCATGACAACAGCGCTCTAGACTGCACGCCCCATGCCCAAATGTCCAAAGTAGCAAAATACATAATGTGTTGTGTGTGTGTGTGTGTGTGTATCTGTGTATGTGAGGAGACAGTGAATGGGTTGATGACAGTAATCGTCCTGAGCCGGGAGTGTTTGCGTGCCTCCATCCTCGTGTTTCTGTAACTCTGTGTGATAAAACGGTGAGGGAGGAATTGAACGGATGGTCTGGTTAGTCTTGAACTAGTGGCATTAAGATGAAGTCAGAGAGTGAAGAGGAAATGGAGCTTTGAGAGGAGGGAGCGTTCAGTAAAATGCCACTGATACCAAGTTTAAACGTCCGTCTTGCTCTGTTATTTCTGCTATGATATTTTTACTCTGCTCTCTCATTACGGTTCTTATGGCACCATCTCTAGGTCTCTACACTGTTCATTCCTTCATGCTTCCCTAACTGTGATAATTATATTTCTGCTTGCAAAAATTAAGTTTTGCACAAAAGTATAAGTGGAGGATGTGGAAAAAAAGCAGAGAAAATGTTTGTTGAGGTGGGAGGGTAGCAGGGATTACGGGTGTACCAGAAAAACCAATATGGCAGAACAGGTAAGTCTAAATAAATGTGCACCCATCGGAGAATGATTGAAGTGATTAGAGTTCGTGTGTGTGAACGTGCCTGCCTGCTTTTGCGGAGGAGGCAACTGTGCAATCAGTGGCGAGAACACGCAACGCGATTTAAAGCCTCATGATGACTGATGTTTAATTATTAAGGAGAGTCTGCAAGGTCTGAAAGAAAAACATGGCAGGTCACCGTGAATTGTCTCCTCACATGGTGGCGAGAGATTATCTTATTTCTTCCTGATGAATCGTGATTTCCATGTTTGATTTTTTATGAGAAAATTTAAATGTGATTTTAACGGAAATGGGAGGGGCAATACCTGCAATACCTTATTGAGTTAGTTAGGATTTTAAAAGCTTTCTGCATGTTCCTAGAATAACACGGATTGTCTTGTTGGTGATATTACTTGTTGTATGAGAAGTAATATCAATTATTTATTGAAACAAATTAACTGGTCTAATAATTTTGTGTTTTTAAGAGATGTTAGCTGTTGTTTCATCACTTTGTATATGCTAAAACCTAAAATCATCTGCTGGATACATCTTAATATGAATTTTCTCCATCAGAAATGAAGCTCAGTGACTGACAAACGGACAAAATAGGAGCAAATTACGAAATGAAAGTTAGGGTAAAAGTCTGGAATCTGTCCAATTAGGTTTCTTGTGAGAAGATGGAGTGTCAAACAGTGGAACATGAGGATGAATTTTATGATTAACTGTTTTCAAAACAACCGAGCTGTCCACTAGACCAGGTATCTGAGGTTGCAAGCCCTTCTCTCCTCCGGTGTCTTACCTTCCTTATCGTAGTAGAGGATCTCCACCTTGAGCTCCTCTGAGCCAAGCAGGGCCTGAGCTAGTTGGGCCAGGGCGCTCTTCATGGTGCCGGGCCCCACCAAGAACTGGCAGGTACAGGGCTGCTGCATGATCTCTGCCCTGGCGAAACCAAACATCTCGCAGAAGCCTTCGTTGCAGTAGATGATGCCACAGTTTGTCGTCTGGGCGTTGGCAATTAGAAACTTGCGATCTGAAGGGAGGAGGAAACGTTAGCGTCATATTCCTGTTTAAAAAGGCAATAAATCTATGTGGAGGTATAGTGACTGTGGGTTAACACTGTGAGGAATGAAAGACTTAAAGAAAAGCTACCAAAATACTCAAAGTATTGTTGAGTATTCAGAGTAGTTCAAACATTGTTAGAAGGTGCTTTACTAAAAAGCGTTTCCCATAATATAAAGAGAAAGAAAGTCTGCTATACTGCCCTCAAAGTCCGAGAGCTGACTAAATAAGAAAATGCAGTTCAAGGAATGAAGCTTACTTTGCTATGCTAGCTAGCAATCTTTTAGCAGGACAAGTTTAGCTAACGTTAGCCGCTGTTACTTTTTGTAATGGTTGGATTTAGCTGCTGCTTCATTTATATAAATACTGAACTTCTTTGGATTGTGAAAAGTCATTTTTTTCAGTTACAGGAGAAAACAGGATTAAAGAGTAAGGGAATTTAGTTTTAGCTAAGGCTAGCTGGCACTCACAGCAGCTAGCTTTCATTTCAGCTTTACGTGTTAGCTCTCTTTTGGAGCTTTGCAATCGTGGCTGTTATTACATTACCATGCACTTCTAGGGCCTAATAACATTTAATTTGGTAAAACAACCATTAAAATTCGACATTTAATTTAATTCTACTGACTGTTTTTTAAGTGATTAGATACTAAAACATTATTTACAATATTATAATACAAATGCACTTAGGAGTGTAAAGAACATGGTGTTTAAACTCCACTGCATGGTCTCCACTCGACAATCAACCCAAGTGGAGCTAATGAAGTCCACTTCTCCATGGTGCCAATGTTATTAACGTCACAATTTATCCTCAGGGACTGAGGAGAAGCAGGTGGGCACTTAACATAAGAGCCTCTGTGGCTCGGTCACACCGGCTGTCACATAGTTTATGGGAATACAGGTTGTTGACGTTTATCAGGATTAGCCTGGAAGATTTTACCTGACATTTTTTTAATTAAACTTGAATAATGCAGCTGTTTCTAATAAGTATGTGCCCGTATAATAATGCTGCTAGACGAGGGTATTATCCTTTTATTATGATGGATTGTTTCTACGCTCTCGTCTCTATTCATACTGCCAGTGGTGGAGGGAGTATGCCTTTACTCAAGTAAAAATAAAAATACCACACCATAGAAATACTTTCTTACAAGTAACAGCCCTGCAATGACAAGGTTGCTGAAGTATATCATCATGAAAATGTACTTAAAGTCATAAAATGACTCAATGTAGAATAATACCCCATGTGTATGTTCATGACTGTATCAAGAGATGTGTATGACTCATGCACTAATGTAAAAGCAGAATTTTACTGCTATGGTTGCTTGAAGTGGAGCTGTACTTTTATATATGGTTTGATATACTGTCATAGTCTAATTTATAAAAAGACACAATATTTGATACGCTCTTTGTATGCTTTGTAGACTAAATCTTAATTTGTCAACTAACTATAATTTTAGTGAAGTAGAAAGTAGCCTCTGAGATGTAATGGAGTACAGAGTACAGAGTTTTATGAAAAGAAAAGATTCAGGTAAAGCACTATAGTCCACCTAGAATTTGAGTAAATGTACTCAATTAGATTTCACTACTGGATACTGTGTACATTCACCGTTTTAGTTTTACATGCTTTGGGATGTTTTTACTTTATCTATATGATCTTTGCTTTGAGGCTATAGCAGTGTTTCCACATATATGGAATTTATTTTAGAAGCCCACCCAACTATATCTGCCCGACCCCACATGCATATTAATTATCTTGCTATCAATACGCAATATACATTAAAAAACATACGATAGGCTGATAAAATACAACGCATTGCTCAAGATTTGGGCAGCTTGTCATGTTTCAGATGTCCAGCAGTTGTTAGCAGTTCCACCAAACAAATATTTCTCCTCTGAACTTCTCAAATATTTTTAAATTTGGGGCCCAAACAGGCAAAACTCTCCAGTATTTCATAAAAGAAGCAAAGATCAGAGAAAAGTTTGAAAAATTAGCTCATTCTTTTACTTGAGTAAAATGCAGGAATTTTACTTGTCATGGTGTATTTTTACATTGTTGTATTGATACCTGCGTATTCATTCCACCACTGGAAACTGGACCATAGTAATGTTTTTCTTTCTGCGATGTCAAACCTTTGAGTATTAACTGCAAGTTATTCTTTATTCAGAAAAAAACCCGCAATAGCAGCCTATAGTTCCATGCTCATACCATCCAGTCCCTGTTATTGATGGTTGTAATGTACGCAGCATCAGCAACCATGAAAGTGAAGCAGGACAGTTTAGTTCAAAGGTTGCTAATGGAGGAGTTCAGTGAGCTGAATGAAAAGGACATATCCTCTGACTGGCTTTTTTATTATCCTGCGGTGGAACTGGGTTAAACAGCTCTTCCCTGTCTGCTGCCCGAACAGATGAGTGGAGGGGACTCTCTCCTAAGTCCCTCTCTTTAAAGTAAATGGACGAGCTCCTCTGGAGGAAAGCACATCCCGTCCAAAGTCTTTAGGCTCAAAGGGGAAACACTTATCGTCACACCGTTGCTTAGCAGCAACACGGTGGCACGTGCACTCACCTGGTTAGGCACGTGCATGTGGCTGCGCGTGCACATTACACACTTAGTGACATACAGTAGAGGCGTTACATAATAGAGGTTTCAGAGATTCAAGTGTTATTACCGCCAGATTGAATCAGACTAAAACTGAGAGCAAGTATTTCTCCATGTTTGGACAGTATCTGATCAGCATGTCAGGGTTAGTGGTCCATAGAGTTAGGCCTACAAGGGAAAACTGACTTTATAAGTAGACTGAAAATATTGTTTTGTAGCATTTCTAAACAATAAAGTACATGAACAAAGATGTAACTTGCTGATGTGTGATGTACAAAAGCTTTAGGTAAAACAGAGATAAAAGATGAATAAATAAATAACCCTATGGGTTAAAAGAAGATATCAAATCCAACATGAATGTTTTATCACAGGGACAAAAAGATGTGTGAGCGCTGGTCTCACTTCAGTGGAACATGTGAGCTAATGGAACATTATATTAGACATCAGGTGAGCAAACATCTCTGATACAAATTAGATAAGACTTTTCAATGAAACATTAAGATCCTGTCCGTCTGCCACCTGTTCAAGAGTCTAAATTCATATGACAAATAAAGGATATAGGCTGTAGCCCTGTTGTAACAGACAACATGGTGTGGCTAACTTTTACCCATATTGTTTCTCACTGTGATCAAAATGGTGTTACATCCAGCAGCTGTTCCATTCACAACCATGCTTTATTTTAATAATCACATAAATATGCATGTTGTGATGGCACACTGCTCCTACTGATGATAACCATTTCCTGTCAGAAATCCTTTTTTTCTTCCATTCAGGGACTGAGAACATTATTACCTCACAGTACCGTAATGGAGGGCAAACACTTTTTTTTTTAACGCACTTTCTTTGCTCTTATAATCGCTATCTGGAGGGCCAACTGCGTGCCCACACTTCGACAGCACCTCATGGTGAAAACTTCATTATATCATGTGCACTTACTTTGCTCGTCGAATTTCCTGATGATAGTGTCCAGGTAGGTGTTCTGGAGCGCAACATGACCGCGTCTCACAGGCATTTTGGTGCTGAGAGAAAAGACTTCTCCGACACATGAACCTTACTAGTTAAAAAAATTTAAAAATAAAAAAAAATGAAGAAAATAGAATTTGAATTGCCAAAAAATCAGCTTCCACTTGGAGGACGAGCGTCAAAGGGAGGGTTTGGTTTCTCTCGGAGGCTGCAGATGATGGTGGTGAGAGCCGGAGCGCAGGAGGGTGATGGAGAGAGGTTCTGGTTGCCTGGGTGATGGCATATGCAGGATGTTGCACGCGGATATTGGGGGGGGGGGGGAGACTAGGATACTTCAAAATCCATATGCATTTTAAAAAAAAGAAAAACAAACTGGTTCCTTGCTGATTGGTTTCCTCGAGGCAAAGAAGAGAACGTGTTTTTTTTTGGAGAAGAAGTTGTGAATAGAAGCTGCAGTATATCTCGGTTTGTTATTTTGATGATCGAAGCGTTCTCTCTCAGGTTTAGACGCTGCAGGGTGAGTACAGCGAATACCAGGCTCCTATGAGCCAGTTTCCCTGGATCCTCTACCCTTCCACCTCCCCCCACCCCGGCTCGAACAGGACCGGCTGTGAGCTGCGACTAGTCACTCTGACTTAACCAGGGCAAAAACGGAAGTACATATCGATTGACTTTCAAAATAGAGGCAATGTCTTTCTGTTTCTCTGATTACAAGCTAAATTGGAATTTGTTTCAAGGTAGCTGACACGGGCTGTATGAGTGAATATTTAGTCATGTAGCCATGGCATGCCTTCCCCAATTTGGGTAGTTTAGTGGTAGTCCGAAATAAGTTTTGTTACATTCCCCACATTTTTTACAGCGCCCCCAAATCCCAAAATTTTGTAATTCATTTTAGTGCCCTGAAATCCTTGCCATGGGATTTGTTTTTCTCTCACAATCACTGAATTTGTTTGTATTTATAATGCCTCATCTGACATTTAATGCCATTTTAGTCATAGTTATATATAGTCAGGTTGTTGTTATAGTGCCTTCAAATGATTCCAATTCCAAAATCTACTCGAAGCTTATGACATTTTAGAGTGGAAGGCTATCATAAAATAAGATGTTATAAAAGGGGCAATGATTTGGGGACAAATAATTTCTGGATATGTTAGGATTTGGGGACATTGCATGACACCCAGTATTTCTTAATAATGTGATATTTTATTTTGAAATCCGCTTCCTGGAGTGATGTTTATTATATCGTGGATGATTGATGGTGGTCTGACACTGACAGAGTGCAGACCCTCATCAGTCTACTCTGCTTAACTCCACATCACAAGTCTCTGAGCTCAAAATAGCAGCATCCTCTCTCTCTCTCTGTCCGTGGCTGCCATCACACTTCTGGAGTATTATATCAATCTATAGTCATGATAAGCTTTTGAGTGTGAGTGTGAGTGTGTGTGTGTGTGTGTGTGTGTGTGTGTGTGTGTGTGTGTGTGTGTGTGTGTGTGTGTGTGTGTGTGTGAGCATGGTATCTTGTCCTCTTTGAATCCTTCAGAAAATTTAAACGTTTGTATGTTGAAGCAGCCTCTTTCTCTGTTCTTTAGACTGACTTTCTGCATTACAAATGTGATTAATTCAGACTTTCAAAACACAAAAACACTTTAATGACGTGTGTTTTCACCTGAACTTCAGTCGTATGACTTTAAAAGACTACAATCATCTCCCTGAACCTCATGAGGAGACATTTAGTTGGCACAAGCTGAGTATTCAGAGACACAGCAGACGTCCAGGCGTTTCAATTGTATACCTACTTAAAGGTCACATGATGAGGCTGAAAGTGGCTTCTTGACACACACACTCACTGCACATTGTTAGTTTTGTTTGGGAATAGCTGCCACAAAAGAGTTTCCTTGACCAGGTAGACTGAGTGATGTTTACTGCAGGCCAGTCTATACTTCCTCTTTCTCAATATGTCTCCACTGGCAACAAGGACACAGCACCTTAATTGATCTAATAGCCTTAATTATTATTTTCAGTGGATATTTGAGATTTACAGAGTCTATATGTAACCGATTGTTGAAATCATTAAAACAGAGGTCTTAAGGAGACCATTCATGATGCTCTACGCTGGTACTTTGGTGACTTAAGTAGTAGGTTGGTGACCTATGCATCTGAGAAGTCATCACTCCACTTTGTCTATAGTGAAATGTATTTGGCGATACAGCGGTTCAGTCTGTAAAGGGTGTTTGGAGATCAGAGGTGGCTTCACGGTCCCGGCAGACAGGCTGAGGTGGTTTGCTCTGTGTTTTGTCTCAACGGCCTTGATGAAATGAGGGCTAAAATTAACCCAAGGAGCACACATGCCTTCCCATGACCCCTTAGTGTGAGAGCCAAGTAAGACAGGAATGTGCACTACAGAGGGCAGCGAAAGACAAAGAGCTGTAAAGACAATGAGATTTGGCTGCAACACTGGACGATAAGTGTGAGTTTGGAGGACCAGCTGCAGAATCCCACTTATTACTTCCTCACATAAGAACTGAAAATGCAAATGTAAAAGTTTTAAGCATTTTAAGCACTTCACCGAGGACGTTGTATTTCTGTTTGTGTTTTTTAATAGCAGGATATGTTAAACTTGAAATTCATATGAAACTGTATAAACTGTGTTTAGGGCTGTTTCATTATGAATAGTAAAAAACGTGGCCGTGTGATTTCATGTTTTCTATTTACATGACAGCTGTTGACACCTCGCACCTGCTGTGGGAAGATAAAAAGCTTAAAGATGTTCATCTTCGCCCCTTCCCAGCAACTCCGGATGGAAAAGTGTTTCAGAGCCAGACGACCCGACTGCCTGAGAGTTTTATCTGCCTGGAATTCCTTCAGCTCAGGGTTGACTCCTGTGCAGACCTGAGACCCACCATTCCTCTGATAAGAGCCGTGCAAAACAGATAGAGTGCAAAGTGTACTTTACACACACTCAGTTATACTTCACGTTCAGTCACACTTCAATACACACATCATCCCAAAGAATGATGCATTTTAAGAGGGGTTTTCTCTCAAATATGCTCTTCATGATGAGTTGAGTAAACAAGTTAAAACATTTAGCCACTAACAGCTCATTTATGTGTCGGTGAAATGCTTAGATATTCTGGACTTCCATGTTGGGTCTTTAAAAGACTTGGAGTCATTTACACAAATGGAACAATGCTAAGATTCATTTGTAATTTGTTTTCATATTGAGAAGGTTTCTGATGTTGTCAAGCCTTCATTATGTTGTTGTTGAATGTCGATCAAGGCAGACGACGAAAAAGGAGAGGGCATAACAATGAGCCTTCAATTTTTTTCATTTAGTCTTAGCCTCTTTGAAAATCCTCTAGCTGTTTCTTCAAATTAAAATACCAATATATAAAATATTAGTATATATATATTTCCCTGTATAACATATAACACATAAACACCTCTTGAATCCTTACAAACAGAACAGTCACCATACTGAGTGTTAAGTTGGTTCAAGCTTCCCTAATTGGAAGAAACATCAATATTTGTTGTAGCAAATAGAGTCAATCAGATACAAGATGTGCAACAATACTCATGTTGTGATTATAATCATTCTTCGCTGCTGGCTGTTAAGAAAAACCTTCTTAACATTCTTCCAATGAAAGAGAGGAGGGACAGGGGGAAAACCTTGTGAAGTGACATTTTTGGGAAACATGGGCTCAGGTGTTTGGCAATCCAGTGCAGGTGGATCATCTGCATCTCAGGCAGTTCTAGTTTCGGCTGCAATTATCTTTCTGCCAGGATATACAGTAACACTTGCAATGAGCCGGGATATTACAGCAAGTGAACCCACCTGCTCAGCAGCAGGACCTGGCCGCCGTGCAGCAACAATCAGTCGAGATGATGAATAGTGTCTGTCTGCTGCTGTCATCCCTCCAGTAGCCTCAAGTTACCTGTCAGCATATATAACCCTCATTTCCCTGATATACTGTATGTATGTGGAAAACCTTCATACAAAATATAACATCTATTTATATCGAATCAAACTTTTGATGGAGGAGATTGATAAATGTCAGTATTGAATCAGAAGTAAACGCACACGACTACGGACGCATGAACTAGCATGAAATATGGATGGAACGCTTAGAATCGAAAAAAGAGACATCAACTCTAATAACCATGTTTTATTGTTGTTAATTTAACATCGCAGCGTGTAGCATTGGTCAGAGCTAACGTTATATCCCACCTGCAGAGGGTTCTTCCCCCCCAAAAAAGCAGGATTCATCTGTGTCTCTGCTACAAGACTCAGGAGTCAGAAGTTCTATCTAAGATCGACATTAAAACGAACAAACAAAAGGAACACAAGGGAGGGCTGCATGTTATTGGGAGAAACAGGACAAGGGGTTGAGTGACAGGAGTGGAAGTTGTGGAGGGGAGCAGGTGGGAGGCACATGGGACCACAGATTCACAGCGTGTCCTTGGCGACGAGCACAAGCGACAGAGCCAGCTTCGGTGTAGCATCACTTTCATTTGCGGCAGGGCCTGTCAGCACGGCTTCAGTCAGCGGGACTTCCAACAAAGCAGGAGGCTTGGATCACAGCTGTGACATCCATGCATCCTTCCTCCGGGTCTCCTTTTCCTTTTCACCCCTGCATCATCCCTTTCAAAACATTTAAAAAAATAAGGGTTTCTGTTGCTGTGGGATTTGTTTGAGGTTATCTCCACAACACTTTCCGCTGTCTCTCCATCTCTCTCTCTCTCTCTCTGCTATCAGACAAACACTGCAGAAATTGGCCGGTGAATTTGGGAGGAGGGATATTGGTGGAGGAACTGGAGGCCTGGAGGACACGACAGCTTCCAAACACCTCCTCCACACCTCCAACCTGAATCTGCGCCTATCACCCCTGCTGGATGACATGCCCTGGCGTGTCCTGGTGTCAAAACATGTCTTATCAGGTGGTGTTCAAGAGAGAAGATGCCACCAGCTGGGTGTGTGATGAATAGAGGATGCGCAGAAGAGCAGAAGTGAAGCGATGGAGGAAAGTTGTTTTGCGAGATAATGAAAATCCTGATGCCAAAACGAATACATCAAACATCATACCTTTGATTGAGTTTGGGCTCTACAGTGATCTCATCTGGAATGCCTGTCAGCTGTCTCTGTTTTTCTGATGTCTTTGAGATTTTTTTGGTTTTTGCTAACATATCTTGCTTGACTCCTGTGTGCCTCCCTGGTGTCAGTAAAGGTAAATATACTGTAGGCTATATGTCTGTAAACTCAATGACAATGTCTACAGATCACTGACTGTCCAGTTTGTCGTACATAACACGTGTTGTCGTATCACCTGGTTTTGCAGTTTTACCCTTTAAAAGCAGCAATAGCAGACTGTTTGGCTGCTCTGTGAGGTTCAGGGTTGTAACATGAGAAAAAGTTACATCAACAAAATACAGAATTCAGTTTGCTGATTTCCACCCAGCTCTGATCTGAGCACACGTCTAATCAGCCAGAGGTGAGACTAGCATGCGCTAATTGAAAACACCTCTGCAGGTTATACAAGCAGCAACACACAAGCAGAGGTGGCTGCAGCTAGCACAAATTAATGAAATGCAAAATAGCACCAGGTAAGGTAAAACAAAAACAAAAAACTAAACAGTCCAAATTTAACTGCAAACACATACCTCTCATTTCCTGCCTAAATCCAATTCTGGTCTCTGCAAAAACTCAACTTCCTCTTGTACTTCTCTTGGCACATTTCACATACACATAACCACAAGTCAACCTCCGCCATGCTACATATTAGCTGAACACAATCGCTACTGATCAAGGCCTCTTCTATGGCAGCTACTCTGAAACAATGCTAAACATCTGGGCTGTCAGTCAGAATTAAAATCAAACAAGTTACCAGTGATTTCCAATAGTTTTTACTGGAACAGGCTACAGATCATTTAAGGTGGGTGACCTACATTCTACTTACAGCTGTACAAAAGCTGAATAAAGATGTTTTTGGGGAGGTCTAGGAGTAATTAATGGCTATGTCATGGTTGTAGGGCAGTAAAGGTGATGATGAAAGGAGAGAAAAATGAAATAAAGTGAAGACTGATGGGGCAGCTTTGGGGTTTGGAAACAATACGTTGTAATAATCCTCAGATCATGAGGAGGACTGCGCTTTAAGGAAGATCTTTGTGTTCAGTTGTTGATTCCTTAATGATCTAAAAAGAAAAGACACCAGAGTTAAAAATAGAAAAGTAGCAAATCCCAAGTGAGTTTTTACTGCATATGACATCAGGTGTGTTGAGCGACAGTGAATGAGTGTGAAAACCTACTGAAGGGTTCAACATTGCCCTCCAGAGGGACTGAGTGAGAGGTGCAATGTGCAGCTTCAGTGTGTGTGAGTTGAACTGTGCTGTTTTTAAAAAGCACATACCTCCCCATCTCTGGTCTCAACCGTTCGAACCAGGATTCTCCTCTTCACGTGCGCCTCCGGGGTTTTAGTGTCCAGGTTAGTATCTAACAAATGAAAGTGCAGTCCCAAGAAATACAAGTTCATTATCCTCTTGTTCAATGATGTCTTAGTAAGCCATCAGGTACTGTTACACACAGTTAACGCAGTATATTTAAAGGATGGGGACATAAGAGTGACCGCCCCTAAAACAATCACAAATCCATCAAGGAATGTCGGAATAGTTCAGAAGGAAGACGGCCCACTGAGAGTCAGTTTCCTGTATCTGTGTCAGGTGGGTCTCGCCACTGCCCCGCCCCTTTTAGAGACTAGCAGCAGGTCCTGAGTCTATTAACTCCAATAGGGGCAATGAACATGAACACAGATTATGACCGATTATTTCGCTTCATAGTCACCCAAACAAACATTAGACCCATTTTTCCCATCACATTTCACACTGACCTCTAAACTGTAGGTTGGAAAAGCTCTGAACTGGAATGGTGATCCTGGATGAAGAAGAAGGAAGAGTATTTCCTATCATTACTTGTTTACATTTGTTGATTGGGTCAAACCCAACAGTCTGCCGAGCTCTGGCTCACCTGCTCTCCTCTCCCTCCAGCAGCTTCCTGTAGGTGGCGATCTCGATGTCCAGGGCCAGCTTGACGTTGAGAAGGTCCTGGTACTCCTGCAGGTGTCTCGCCATCTCCTCCTTCAGAGCATGGATGTCCTCCTCCAGACGGTTCACTGTATCCTGGTAACCAGAAGTCTCCATGGCGAAGCGGTCCTCCATCTCCCGGAGCTGGCGTTCCAGAGACTCGTTCTCGAAGAGAAGAGACAAGGCCGAGTAATGAACACCAACGTCTAATGTAGCAGACTGTAGTTGACTGAGGCTTTATTTTAATGTTCGACACTGATCTCTGACTTCACTGTAATTTTGTGGAGTCAAAACACGAGCAAGTATCACCCTAACACGCTGTGTTTTCTGAGGTTAAGTCTACTTACTGTCCCCCTGAGAGCCTCAAGATCGCAGGTCACCCCTTGGAGCTGACGCCGGTACTCATTGGCCTCCTGTTTGGCTTGGCGCAGGGCTTCTGTGTTTCGATTGGCTGCATCTGTCAGGTCAGCAAACTGCGTACAAAAGGCAAATAGTCCAAAAGCCTGTAAGCGTCTCCTCAAAATATTTTTTGACTCTACTTCTCTTTTTCCCACACTTCATGAAAGGCATATCTTTGAGTCTTCTGACCTTGGATCGGTACCAGTCCTCCGTCTCCTGCATGTTTGAGGAGGCCATGGTTTCATATTGGACCCTGATGTCCCTCAGAGCACCAGTCAGGTCTGGTTTGGATACATCCAGGTCAATGTGCACCTGTTGGGTCATGATCTGCTCCTGTATCTCACGCAGCTCCTGAGAGGGGGAGAGGAAGAGGAAGAAGTGAAGAAAGGCTCCAATGAGGTGGTTACACGTGGTTAAAGGTAAAGGTAGTGATAGTTAAAGTTGATTGAGAATGCTTTTTATTTCAATTTTATTCTTACCTCATCATGAGTCTTCTTCAGGAAGTTTATCTCTTCCTGCAGGGCATCGATCTTCCTCTCCAACTGGATCCGATTGAGAGCCGCCTCATCCACATCCTATGCGAAGAATCAGGCACACAGAGGAATGAGGGTGGACAGTCAGACATAATGAATTTAGAAAGGAATTCAAAAGGAAATATCAGCCGAATTACCTGTCTGTAGGCAATCAGATTGTTTTCTGCATCCTGTCGGAGGCCAATCTCATCTTGCAACCTATAGGTCGCAAAAGAAGAGATTGAAATAAAGTGCTTCACAGGTGATCGTGGACGATGTTGATTGAAAACCACACAAAACAAACTGCTTATTTTCCTGCTGTCGTTCAAGAAAAATCTGTTTAACACTGTGCTGCAGTTTATGTAGCATAATTATTTACATGTTAACAAATGTCAACAACTCTTTGTTCTATTGAAGCAGTACCTTAATCATTTTTAATTCTCAATTAACAGGAAAACACATCATGTATCATTCATGACACATTTCTTTTGGATATTTTCAAATAACAAAAATCCATCAAATATCGTTTTTGATCTCATGCCTGTCAGTATTGTTTTGTCTGTCAGTAAAAGAGAAACAAACATACAGTTTTCTGCAATTTAAATGAGACATTCCTGCATATTAACAGTCAAACTATGGAAACTAAAAAAACATTTCAAGCATTTTACTGTGAGCTTCAGGGCTGCTCCTCGTGCTTCAGGAGACGACGGGGGCTCAGCTGAAAGGGCAGCTTCTGCATCGTTACACATTCACTCCAATCTAACAGCCAGAGGCCTTTCCCACGGGATGGCGCTCACACACAAACACACAAAGGGTGCATGTGTGCACGCACAACCTCACACACACACACACACACGCCACACTGCAATCCATCTGAGGCTTGGAAACACAAATGCCCAGACTTTGGGTAACATCTGTATAGCTTCATGCAGGGTTTGCTGAATGGTATCACAAAAGTGACCTTTCACCTTCTCAGCCACGGCCATCACTATTCACTCTGCCTTCTTTCAGGGGACCGGCAGCTGCGTAGTAATCAGAGTGCAGAGAGGAGTCGGCTTTTCCAACCTCAAGGACATTAAATCACTTATTGTCCGTACTAAATTAAATCATAGATTCATGCCACATGTGCTCCATAGATAAAAAAAAATTAACTGGATTTGCGACAGCAGTGAATCAGTGTTTTGGAGTAACTGGACGAGAGAATATCTGCCTGGCTGTCTGCTTCCTTTGTGGAAGGCTGCCATTGTGTTTGCCTCATTCCTCCGCACTCACTCAATGGCGACGAGGGGTTCAGTCAGGATCAAGTTTGTAAACAGGGATCCAGGAGTAACGCTCGGTCAGAGCTCAGGGGTCTGCGTTCCAATGAATCAGAGATCAACCAAATCTATGCAACAAACATGTCTTATTTTGTTTTGAGAGACCTCAGATCTAAGCAAACTGAATTTATTTTTCTACCGTCCTGGTATTTTACAAAATCCCAGAGCAACAACAGTATCAACATTAAAACAGAGCGAAGTTGACCAAAAGCGGTGCTACTTTGAACCAAAAAGATGCATAGAAGAGGAAAACAAAACAAAAATGTATTGCACACTCTACAGGAGATGAAACACAAATACAGAGAGTAAAACCCCAGATATAGGGACAAAGCAGGAAGGAGTTTGGTACGCATTCCCTCCTGTTACATGGTGTTTTTATTAGTTTTATTAGTTAATCTAAATTTTAAACCTAGCACCCTATGAACATGTTTTAATGTTTTAAATACATATTTCTATTGTCCACAAAGCTGTGCAGGACTTTTTTCTTCATTTATACTGTATATTAGGCATTGAGCTGATCTCCAAACTTTCAGTACATTTTTCAAGTTCCAAATTTAACTTAAATGTATTGTCATCATCAGAAAGTACAAGCAAGAATGCAAAACAAGTGTCGTGCAACAGTCAGTCACGTTAAGAAAATAAGACATATCAAGGTGGTGCTACTGTGTTCCACCCACATGAGTCCCGCCCTGCTTCCTCCTACCTCTGCTTGAGCATGTTCAGATCTGCAGCCAGGTTGTCCTTCTCTATCTCCTGCCGAGCTTTGCCGGCAGTGAGACTGTCCACCTGTCTGCGCAGCTCTCTCAGCTCCTCCTGGTAGATGTCCCCCAGGCGGCTGGGCTCCTTCACCTTCAGCTGGTTCAGCTCTCCCACCAGCACCTTGTTCTGCTGCTCCAAAAGGCGCACCTTCTCTATGAAGCTGGCGAAGCGGTCATTCAGGCCCATCATCTCAATCTTCTCGTTGGTGCGTGTCTCCTTGTAGTGGGCCTTCATCAGGGAGTCAGCTGGGAAGTCCAGCCGGTCCACGGGGCTCCCCAAGGAGATCCGGGACATCGGGCTGGAGTAGGTGACGTTGCGAGGGGTGCCATGCCAGGAGACGCGGTTGGAAGAATTTCGGACACCTATGCTGCCCGAGCCCTGAGGCCCAAAACGCTTCCTGTACGAGGACTGGGCTCTGTGACTATCCATGGTGTGGAATGAAGCTCATTCAGGGCACAAACAAGGTTTTTATAGAGGCAGGCGAAGCCCCCCCAAGTCCAAAGCAGAGGCCACAGGGTGAGGCAGAGAGAAAGGAGGGTGGCAGGCAGTGAATGGGACAAAAAGGGAGAGCGAAGGGGTGGTTTACATGACACTCAAAGAGCTGTGTGCCAGGGATTGTCTGTGCTCGTCCACTCAACTACAAATGTTTCTTGGCTTTCTCCCTCTCTCCCCCCCTCTACTCCTTTACCCAGGCCTGTGACTCACTCACTCTCTTTCTCTTTCTCTTACTTTCACCCTTTTCTCTCTTTCTATCTGTTCCAGCTTAATGAAAAGGAATTTGTGTGACAGGGTCTGGTCACCAATTCAACCTGACCACACATGCGCTCTCACAAAAACGGAAAGTTTGATGGAACAAAGGGGTGGAGCTGCTGGGAAGAGATCTTCACACTCTAATCAGAGAAAGCAACAACAGAATCACAGTTCAGACCAATTAGGAATCATGGGAGGCAGAGTGAAATATTAAATGTTTTGTTGTGTTGCACAATGTCCAACAAATAAGCCTGCGGGATTTTGTGGAATTACACCTCCACTAAGGAGACAAACAGCATGTAGGACAGAACCTGAAAGCTTTTTTTCTCTCCTCCTTGGATCACAGTTTATTACACAACAAGGACATAACAACCTACAATTATTCCCTAAACACATGCTGACTCTAATGGGAAAAAGGTATCATGGAATTAGATTTGTCTTTGATTAAAGTGACAATTTTCCATATAACTTTGTGCTCTTATCTCAGTTTTCTTCCCACTTTGTTAACCATTAAAATTAGCTTTTAATTGTCCCTGTTATTTTATTCGGTCAGGTGTCCAAAACTAATACTTTACATGCACCTTGTTGAGGGATAGTAATCCACTATAATTATCACAAATGTTACAAAATAAGAACTCGTAGCAGTTGAAATTAAACAACCGAAGTCACCCTTCCAACCTCGGATAATATCATTTACCTACTTTCTGTTTTATTACTTACTTAATTTTGGTGTGCTGTGAAAAAGAAAAAAGTTAAGACAGAAGCAAATGATTGGAGCTAGAATATCATTAAAATAAGATTACCAAATATTTGTCACACTTTGGACAAAATATTCTTGACTGACCGGTGGGTATTGCAAAAGTGAATTTTGTGCTATGAAATGTTTTTTAAATATCAATAATATGTTGTTCGGTAAAGAATTTTGTACACAAAATGAAGCATGTGCCACTTCGCACCAATACATATATATAGTGTGTATCAAAGTGTCAAAAGCACCAGAGCCAACGACCTGGAACACATGGATGAATGTAATGTGTCCATGTTCTTGCTACGATTTATCAGCTCAGTAACACGACAAAACAACATCACACGTAACTGTCCATCTACAGTTGGTTGACCATCATGCTGCAGGAGCACAAGCACACTTTCATTATTGCATGGGTAGTTTGTAGCCGAGGACTCTGGGGTGTTCACTACGTCGGGTTATTAGACGTCCTGTTGGACTCCAAAGACAGATGGATGGTCGGGACGTGGAGTAGTGGGAGGGAGGGAGGGACAAAGGGAGGGATAAAGGGAGGGAGGGAGAACCCCAGAGGGACTAACAGAGGCTGCGTTTCAAAACCATTTTCACCCATTACCTTGACAACCGCAGGGCCGGCTACCTCAGGACACTTCAGCTGATCTTTTTATGAGGATTGGATTTGTGGAGATTGTGACAGACTGTTTGTTCTCCTTCTTCAAGTGTACATGCCTGAAGACAAGAAGAATTAAAAGACTCGAGTCCTTTGACACAACACACTGGCACAGCATCTCTCATTTACTACAAATTTACAAACGTACTTACTACAAAATAGTCTAACAACCTTTTAAAGCAGCAAGAGGTTGCCAGGCAAGTGACAATGTATCTGGAAACATCAACAAATAACACTGACAGTTAAATCATAAACATTTAGTGTAAACAGAAATATAAAACTGTATTTATTTCCTTTGATAAGATTAATTAAAGCGTATTATCTTTCCCTAGCTCATTTTATTTTTCAACTATTTCATTTTCCTATTCTTTGTCACTTATCACCACAAGAGACAGAAATTAAAGAACCCCAATGGCTGCCTGGTTGTGGGAAACAGCCGAGAAATGACAAAAAATTACAGCACACATTTTAAAATCTTCCAGCATCAATTTAACGTTTAAGTGTTATTTATTGTTAGGAAGACAAAACACTGATATCATCATTTAGCTGTGGCGTTACAACAGGTAGTAAAACCACAAAAGCAGTGTGACATAAAGGACTTCTTTGTTACCGGGTCATAAAATCACAGAGGGTGGAAACCAGTGGGACTGGGAGACAGTGAATAAAGCACCGTATTACTCTGCTATCTGGCCGCCGAGTGTTATTGCCGTTAAGGAAGCAAAACAAAAACACGGTGTCTTGAATTCCAATTGGTCTCTGTTAAAAGAGGTTAAATGAGATGGCACACTGTAAGTCTGGAGGAGATTTGTTGATTTAAAAGGCTCCATCGCTAAGGATTAATGCCGGGGTTGCATCATTAAGTTGACACTAATTGTTTCAGCTCTCTGGATGTTTTAGACAATCACTGCCGTTGCCTCAGTTCTGGTCACTGAGGTAATATGCCACGAAGATTAAACATTCACAGAGAGAGAGAGAGAAGAAGGGCAGTGGTGCAGACTCTTCCCTCCCTGCTGCCGGAGTCACTGAGGGCCAAGTCAAACAGCTGATTCATGTGTCCGACATGAGGAGAGCATTTCATTTGCAGGACTTACAAGGGGAAAGCAGAATCCTAATGCTGCTGGACTCAGTCTGATCTCAGGCCAAGGAAACATGGCTGCCAGCTAAGTTTAACTGCTTAACACTCAACACTTGCTTTGTGCTCTGTTTTTTTACAGCCAGAATACGCAGTGTGAACCTCTTCTCTGGCATCCCTCACCCTCACTGATGGCCACAGACCAAATTGAATTCTGACTAACGAGCTGGAAATACTCAGCCCCACCTTCATCTCCACATCAAGGCCCTTATTTCCAGGACAGGGTGGAAATTAAAGGAGGAGTAGGCATTAATCCATAATCCAACATTGATTTACTGAAACACGGGATATGTTACTTACCATAAATTCCTGTTCTACATTAAACAATATAAATTTCAACCATCAGAGTATGTAATCCTTGCAAGAGCCTGAGGATGATACAACAAACTGTAATGGATCACAGAAAAGCATGTACTTGTTAATATTGGAGAGGTGAAAACAGACAAAACAATGGAAGCAGATTAAAGAACACCCTCACAGAAAGAAATATTGATGCCAAGAAAAACTTTAAATTTGGAGCGAAAGCAAACAGATGCAAGTCTGGGATCCAGCAGTGAAACGATCAGCGCTGTTCTGCGAAGGAAATGATTTAACTATGTAATTCCTGCACATCCTTGTGTGCCAAAATGGAAGAAATATTCAAATATTTTACTTAACTAAATGAAGCAATACCACAACAGAAACATACTTTTACTTAAATGAAATAAAAACATGAATATTGTATAATTCTACAAATATTAATATAAAATTAGCCGTTTATATCTACGAAGGGGGCGGGTCCTTTTCACAAAGCCGGCCGACATTGTTTCTACAGTAGCCCAGAACAACAAACCTCACGCCTGTAGATAAGGCTATTCCCTTTTTCATGTTTTCGTGTCGGCCACCGTAGTTCTCCTACCCCCTCTTGCCGGCACATGGGGGAAGTTTCAGTTGGTTGCTATCTGCAACCTCACCGCTAGATGTTGCCAAATACTACATACTCACCTGAGACTTTGTGGGTATTTGGTCTCAAAAAACAAGTGGAACAAAATTAAAATGGTGACCTGATGATGGTGCTAGAGAAAACGTTAAATGATCACCAAAGAGATTACTGTTCATCCTGTAAGGAGGGGATGCCAAATATTATGGCAATCCATCCAAGAAATTTCATACCAAGCAAAAGGGAAGCAGAGGGGGACACAAATATACACAATGGCCTTGAATGTTAAACAGCCACGAGCTTGATCTGTTCTGCCTCAATATAAGGGACATCATAAAACTAGACCATTGTGATTCTCATCCTCTAGAATGTTGAGTATATTTTATTTGACAATTCTGCTTCCCAAGAAGTCTTTTCCCAAGTAGAGTGGACATGATTCATCTGGAGAAAATACATCTTGTCATCCATGTTTGAGAAAACAAAGAGGGTTTCATGTACAATGCAGCTCCTCTATCTTTACTGTGAAAATAAACAGGAAAATAAACAGAAAAGTACTAAAGCAACCATATTATCAGTCTTGTGTGCTGTAAAAAAATATAATTAACATAAAGGCAATAAAAGCAAACCTGTCAAAAGCAAAGCATCTCTGCATCAAAAAGGCCCTTTGTTGGATCTGCTACATCTCACAGCCAGACACGGATGTAGCAATCTCTGCTTCCCGTGTCCGCCTCCTGTTTTCCTTCATGAGAGAAAAAAAAAAAAATCGAGGAAGAAAACAAAACGAAGGCGAGAGAGGAAAGAACGAGTGCATCAATCAAGTAGCTTCTTACTGCCAACAATGAGGTCAGTCTTTCATTTACTGGGCTCACTGAGTCTCCATGAGCCACAGCTGGCCCACACAGGCACAGAAAATGACAAACAATTTTTTTCAAAACAATTTATTTGTTTTGCAGAGAGGGCAACATACTATTTCTTTTCTTACTGTAAAATAAAGTCGATACATTAGACTTTGCACTGCAAGTCCTGTCATGATACGTAATATATAGATCTCTAAAAAAACTACTTTGTATTCATTTGCTTACCACAGGGTCCTTTATCTCACTGTCTTTTCCTGAAAGAGGCATTATTTGCATTTGTACACATTTAAGCTGCCTTTAGCCAGTAGCAGCCCCGTTGAAAGTTATCACGTTATAGCCTTAAGGCAGCAGTCAGCCCTTTGCCCAGATCATTCTCGTCTGAACCCTGGGATAAACAAAGTCGTCGTCTAGAGTTGAACAGCGAACTCTGAAATCCAGCACTGGCTCCAATCCTGCTCGTCTTTGGCTCACACATACACCCTTTAATTACATTTCAGTTACACTGAGATCACGTAAAAAATACTCCCAGCATGTTAAGCCTTGAAAGGTTTCATTCATAAGACCTCATCAATGTGTCAAAGCAGTATATGGTCAGATGATGCAAGGTTTCCGTAACCTGTCAGGTAACACTGTCATCTAAATCTATTGCTGAGCGTGTGTGGAAAGGTGGTTGTTTTTGGGAGCTGGAACAAGAACCAGGCAGCCAGAGTTCGTTTTCCACCCATTTATACACCCCAATTCTGTAATGTCTGCAAAACCAGCTGCTCTCAATGATTTACTTTTAAAGACACAAAGTCCTGAAAGTATCATGAGATTTGACACAGTCTAAATATAAAAAATATATTTCTATACATATATATACACATATATATATATATATATATATATATATATATACACACACATGTATATATTTTTGTTTATAAAAATGTAATTGGGATAGACACGGGAATATAAATAAAAATGAAACAAATTTCACATTTGAAGTAAAAGAAAAAAAAAAAATTTGGTAAAGAGAACAAAAACTCCAGAACATTCATTTAACATCAAAAGTGCATCTGATTTAAAGCAAAGGTTTCTCAGTCAGGGATGTTTGGTCTAGACACAAATCAACAGTAAGATCTTAGGCAAAGGCGATGGAGAGCACTTCCAAATGAAGGCCCTATAAGTTTGCATTTTTAAACCAAAAAAAGCATCACCTGCTTCATTTTCACATATAACTGATAACAAGTCCGTATCATTATATTTTATCTGCCCCCTTTTTTTGCCACTTTGTGGGCTGAGAACACCTGTGACACTGAAGAGCTATAAAAGGAGGATGGCACATGGAAGGATAAGTCACATTTTGGCAAAAGGTAGAACAAGACATGGAAAAGTCAATTTAAAAGAAACATACACACTCAGCTCCTCCTGCGCAGTTACATCTCATACTTTATAGAAATATATTATTTGATTTAAATTCCTAGATTGTACTGAAATGCACTTATTAACGTGAATCCTTTCAATGTATTAACTGGTTAGAAGGACAGCAATAGTGACAGAGGAGGGAGTGTTTTCTTTCTGTGAAGAGTCATATCTTAAAATATGTTATTCTAGCTGCATAGCCCCAGTTAGGTTTGTGCCTCTCATGCATTACAATCACTTTCAAGTAACAGAGCTTTTGTTTCTCTGAAAAATAAACAGCAAGATCATTTAACAGAACTCACTGCTGCTATGAAGGCATTTCAAAAGTCCTTAAAAACTCTATACTCTAAAATAATTGCTGCTCTATTTAAATAAAAATAAAAAAGATATCTTTTAACCCTTTTCTTAAGTTGTGACTGTATTTTGCATCCAAGCAGCTGGGAATGACATACGCCCTTGCTCTTTTTGTACAACAAAAGAAAAATATGAAAATATCAATATAGTCAAAAAGTTTCCCAAGCTGTTTCCAAATTCAAACAAAGATGGTAGTCGGAAATGACATATATCTTTGCATAATTTATGCAACAAAAACCAAAGGAATTGGTATCAGTTATGTTTGTCTACAGTTAACACTTTCTTTTTGCACAGAAGACGAAACCTTTTCACATCCAGATGATTAGAAGTGTATTCTGAGCAGTAAGTGTTGTCAAACATCCTTCAGGGTCTTTCAAAGATCACCAAGTAATTCTTTTTCAGGGAAACTAGTTTGCCAATGTGACTTGAATGTAACCGCAATACATAAGAGACAAAAAACTGGTGCAAGTACACGCCGTGCATCGTGGTCGATTGAGGGTCCTGTTTATTCATTTCTACCACTAAAATGACTAAACCATGTTAAATTGATGTCTTAATTCTGAAGGGCTTAAATCAAAACATGCCTCAGTCTGTTCAATATTGGTGCAGCTAAACATTATTCTTCCACTAAACACCAGCTACTCTACGCACATCGCTCCATCTGTGTTTCATCCAACCTACGCAGACATTCAAAGAGTTTTCCTCGTTTAGAACGAGACAGAGACAAAGTGGGGAAAAAAGAGAACAATCCTGTCCAATTAAAACTGTTGAGCACACAGTGGTGTGCTGTAGCTTACAAACGGTGCTCAGCTGAATGTTTCAAACACTGTGGGGCTTCCTGGCATTTCACAGAGAATGCCAACACAGGAGAGGGTACACAATGAAGACACAACAGGTGCATGGCTTGAAGGACGCTGCCTTCGGAGTGCATCATTTGAAGTGTGTGCATATGAAGGATCCGCACTTAATCCACTTAATCTGTGTTTTGTTTCCCCCGTGTGGTCACTCTTGTAAGTGCAAGGCATTGATGACCGCTGTGGACAAACCGTCTTGTTATTTGGTTTTATGTGGAGGAGCGTCTTGAGCTCCGGCAGTGGCTCGGTGAGTTTAACACTGATTTCTAGATCAGTTCCACATCCAGATTTCCTGCCATGGACTGGGTGTCAAGGAAGCTACAGACACTGCTGAGGCCGTAACTCTGTGGTTGAAGTTCAGAAACCAGGCAGGCTTCAGCACAGAATCTGGGAGAAGGGATGTCTGAGCAGCTCCTCAGCACTGGGCCTGTGTTTGGCCTCCACAAAAATGCAGCTTATGAAGTCCCGTGCCTGGTCCGAGGTGTGCGAGGGCAGCAGCGGGTTGGTGGGCTGGGTGGCGATCTTGAATATGGCCGCCATGGCCTCGTATTCAGCCCACGGAGGCTTTTCTGTCAGCATCTCTACCACCGTACAACCAAGGCTCCTGTCAAGCAAGTGCGCGATTTATTTTTGCTTTACTTTCATCATGCAGTGGAGTCACATAACATGTTGAAACAAATACCACGTATTAGCAGCTCGATACTAAAGCTTTACAGGAATGTTTTGAGTGGAAACTTGCTGGCTGCAGAGGGCCTCCTCCACCTGTTTGGGAGGTACAAGCCCTCCTGGGAGCATTACTCTCCCTCTCCAACCTGGCCTAAGAACCTGGAACATACCAGCCTCTGTTACGACCTGTCTGACTGGCCTTCAGCCAATCACATCACTCGACTAGTAAATCACCACCCAATCAGATTGCATGATGGAATGTTGTTCTGGGATCAGACTCCTCACTTTATTAAAAGGTTTTCCTTTTAGGAGGACAGAGATTGTGCCACTGGATGCTACTCAATATCATCTTGCTGAATGATGGTATTTCTACCGAGTCCTCACATAAAAATAACCTGAATTCAAACTAAACGATTCTTACTAAAAGATGCATTTCCATCAAATTGTTGCTTGTACCAAGCAATAATTTATCAACTAATAATTTAGCTCAAGCGTGACATCTATCCCTGAAGACCTTTTCTTGAGAAAGAGGGATCAAACTTTAAACTACACTGCTGTGTGTCTTACCAGACATCGGCCTTCCTGCCGTAGCCCTCTCCACTGATCACCTCCGGGCTCATCCAGTAGGGGGTGCCAGTCACAGAGCGGATGCCGGTTCCAGACATGCAGATGGTCTGCAGCCTCTTGCTGGCACCGAAGTCCCCGAGCTTCACGTTGCCCGCTGAATCCCGCAGGATGTTGGCACCTGAGTTGACATGAAGCGTGTAAATATTTCAACTCACCAATGACCTTCCACATGCTGTGAAAACCCAAACATCTCTATATATTTAAACAGTGAACAGTGTAATGCTCAAGCCGGTTGAACAGGACTACCTTTGATGTCCCTGTGTACGATCATGTTGCTGTGCAGATAGGACATGCCCTCCAGGATCTGTCTCGTGTACTTCCGGGTCACGTTTTCTGTCAGTGCCCCGTAGGCCTTCAGCTGGTCTTTGACTGAACCCTGGAAAAACACATGTGCTTTACACAACAGCACTGAAGGTCTGAGCCCAGAACAGAGGGAGTAAAGTTAAAGTTATCTGGCACCTGAAAGATTTGTGTTATGCATTCAAAGTACGGGCAATGTAATGTAAAATGGCCTTTAGTCCCAGAAAGGAACTCAAATAAAAAATATTGCATTTGTGTTGGCATTTTCACCGCATCTGAAGAACCTCTAGACTGATAAAGGATCACTGTCTCTTTATCTCCCTTGTTTCTTAGACTTAATAAGAAGTTGGCTGCACAACTACGGCCCAGATTGCAAACTGAAACAAGGTTACTGAGGTCAAAATTTAGTTCCTGAGTTCCTAAAAAGGTTCCTGGAAACAGTCCTGCGGTTGAAAAGAAAGAAGTATTTGACTATATAAACCTAAATTCAGGGGAAGTGACCTGCCCGACCGTACTTCTGAATTACATTACATTACAGTCATTTAGCAGACGCTTTCATCCAAAGCGACTTACAATTTAGATTCCATCTACACACAGCTATGGGAGCACTTTTGGGGTTAAGTGTCTTGCTCAAGGACACATTGACATGCGACTAGCAGAGCCGGGGATCGAACCGCCGATCCTCTGATTGAAGGATGGCCCAGCTCTCCACTTAGCCACAGTCGCCAATGAATACTTCCTAAATCACCAACTGTATAGCAAATCAAAATGTTAAGTCACGAGAACTGATTGCTGTACTTTGTTTGCTCTCCTCGTGTCTTTTTTTAATGCTCTTATGTGACTGATGCAATGAGACTGATCACAAAGACTGAGGTTATGGAATTGAAGCTGTGACGTTGAAAGTTGCTGGGGACTCACCCCCGGCATGTACTCCATGAAAATACTGAGAGTCTTCTCATTGTGGTCCCTCAGACAGCCGTAATACTGAACAATACGCTCGTGATGCAGATTCTTCAGCAACTGGATTTCACACTCCAAAGCGCTGACCTCCTGTGCGGATAACAAAGAGAGGCAGAGAAATTACACACTGCTCAGACATTAAACATAAAAGCTGTCCTTTCTGAACAATGCGTCTCTGTTGATTTACTGTTTTCACATGTAAACAAAATGCATTTTGTGGACACGGCGGAGCCACCGAGGCTCCGTCATATCTGTTACCACTGATGACAAACAAATGTGACTATAAACACAGCGATTTATGGCTGCATGTGAAGTCTGCCAAAAGTGAAACCTAAAAGCATGGAGTAAATGAACAGTTCCCCAAAAGAAGTTCCTGTGTTTACTTCGGAGAAGGAGGCCACGACATAGTGGGAGACAGTGGGCAGTAAAAGTAATCCCCGAGTCCCAGTTTAATAGAAACAAGTGATACACAACTGCTACAGGCTGGGGGAGGGGTGCGAAGAGGTGATGGGAGGCCAAGGCAATCAGCCCTCACTGCCACCGCTCCCCCCACAACACTCGGCTTCTTTCAGACACAGGAAGTGACAGTGCATGTTTTCTCTGTGGAAGACAGGAAAAGACATTGAAATGGCAAAGAAGGGGGGGGGGGTGGTTGAGGGAGGAAAGAAAACCTCTTCAATACATTCCACTTCTTGAGTTGTTTATTAATGATTTTGTTTATGTGGCAAAGGATAAAATAAAGTGTGTTTGTGGCTTAACACGTGACCTCAGAACACGGAACTTAAATAGCGGATTGATTAATCAAATGCTGAGTAATGCTAATTATCTGCGTTCCAGCACGATGAAGTGATTAACATGCACGACATATGAGGTCATTCTTGGCGGTTTTACAGTTGGGCAGTAGTGCAGAGTTGCAGATTTGTTATTAATCAACACACTATGGTTTGGTTTTTCAAAAGACTGTAACGTCAACATCCATGACTGATATAAGTCAAGAGGAAATGACACTATTTCCTGACAAAAACAGCAGACTAATTAATGTCCACCAAGAAGTAGCGACATGTCAGGAAAGCAGACTTTTCTTTTTTTCACAACTAAAGCGCTAACAAGAGGTTGCATATCCATAAGCAACGGTGGAAATGTTCTGAACAGTACCAACAAGAGAAAATAGGAGAGCACAAGACAACCAAGCATTCTGCCTCTGTTAAAACATGAAAAGTTGATCTATCCGTGTTAGTGTCTCACCTTGCTGGTCTCAGGACTCTCAGGATCAAACTGGACCTGCTTGGCAGCCAGTTCCCTCCCAGTATCCACATCGTAACACAGGTAAACCCGACCAAACGCTCCCTGGCCCAGAAGCTTCCCCCGCCGCCATGTCATCGGAGCACTGGGGGCTGAGAAAAAAACAAAACAGCAATTCACATGGTACAGTTTACAAAAGGAATCAATTTTTACTTTGATTTCACCACCCAGGGGGTTTAGAAGCAGATTTTACTAACCCACCTTTAAAATAATGTTGCCGAGGTTTCTGCTAAAAGTAAATTCTGGTGGAAACCTTTATTACAAGTTACAAGCATCTGTACCGGCCCTTGAACCCTGCGCAGTGTATCCGTTATTTATATCTCTTAAGAATTCAAGTCATCCTAAAAAGTGTATTTTCAAAAGGACATTTTGTTTAGAGTTATTGTAGATCAACACTCACACTTATGCGCGACAGAACGATCTTGGGGACGGAGCCTGCCGTGAGCGTCGACCAGCTGCCAGCTGCCCACGCTATCCTCGCTGCCATTGAGCGACCGGCGTGACGGCACCAGAGTGAACAGGTTCCCCTGGGGGCGACGGATCCGCGGGAACGTCCGACGGCCTGGAGGAGGGGGGGGGGGGGGGGGGGGG